TTTAAGGTCTCGCCATGACTTTTTCATGGCTTGTTCTTAATGCTGAATAATAATTAGTCCATGTCTGGATGTGCCACAATTTTATCAATCCAGTCACCTACTGGTTGCTTCCAAGTTTCGACAATTATGAATAAAGCTGCTATAAACCTCCCTGCTCAGGTTTTTGTGTGAATGTGAGTTTTCAGCTTCTTTGGGTAATTACCAAGGAGTCCAACTGTGGATTGTTGGGTAAGAGTCTTATCTAGTTTCGTAAGAAACCACCAACTGTATTCCAAATTGGATGTATCATCTAGCATCCCCATCAACGAATGAGTCTCCATTGCTCCACATCTTCACCAGCATTTGATAGTAACAGTGCTTTAAATTTGACTGTTCTGTGTGTAGTTTCAATATGTAATTCTCTAGTGATGATGTGTATCCTCATATGCTTATATGCCATCTATATATATATTCTTTAGTGAGATGTCTCTTTAGATCTTTTACCTATTTTTAATGAGGTTATTTCCTCCTTTTAAGTTATTTGTATATTTTAAATATTTTATCAGATATGTCTTTTTTTTTTTTTAAAGATTTATTTATTTATTGATGCAAGCACTGGGTACAGCCAGAAGCGTGGGAGGGTGAGAGAATTCACCAGAGCCAGAGCAGGGAGCAGAGCAGGCAGAAGGACCGAAGTACACTGCTGAGGGGAGCAGCGGGTGGCAGGAGAGGTCTGCGCGCCATGCAGGACCCTCCTCTGGTGGCCGGGGAGCAGCTGGGGATCAAACCGGCGCTGCAGAGGCTGCGGGCAGCTTCGCAACCCAGCGCTCAACCGTTGCGCCACCGGGGAGGCCCAGATATGTCTTTTAATATCCAACTATTTTGAGATTTTGCAGTTATCTTCATGATTTCTAGTTCAATCCACTGTGGTCCAAGAGCAGATGCTTTATGATTTTTGTTCTTTTAAATTTTGTACATGTGTTTTTGGCCCACAATGTGGTCTCTCTTGGTGAATGTTCCTTCCATGTGGGTTTAAGAAGAATGTGTATTCTGCCGTTGTTGGGTAAAATACTCATAATTGACAACGGATATCGATTATAGCCAGTTGATAGATGCTGTTAAGTTCAACTGCGTCCTTACTGATTTTCTGTCTGCTGAATTTGTTTCACATAAGGAGATGTGAAAATTTTCAACTATAATAGAACTATACAGTTCTATCAGGTTTTACCTTGTGTTTTTGATACTGGTTTTAGATGAATACACATTCAAATTGTCTTAAAAGTCTTGAGCTTCTTATCATTATATAATGCCCTTCCTTATCCCTGATAATATTCCTTTCTCTGAAGTCTGCTCTTTCTGGAATTAATATAACTAAGCTTGCTTTTATTTGGTGTTAGTATGACATATCTTCATCCATTTACTTTTAATCTATCTTTATATTTAAAGTGGATTTTTTGTAGACAACCTATAGTGGCTATATCTAGTTTTCTCCCTCCCACCCCCTCCTTGGGAACTTTTTTATGATACAGCTTTTAACAATCTGTGTCTTTGATATATTTAGACCATTAACGTTTAAGGTGATTATTAATATAGGTGGATTAATATCTACCATATTACTATTTTTTATTTATTGCTCTTGTTCTATTTTTGTCTTCTACTCTCTGCCTTTTGTGTTTTCAGTTGAGAACTTTATATGGTTCCATTTTGTCTCCTTAGCATATTAGTCATATTTCTTTTTACTTTGTTTAGTATTTGCCCTTAAGCTTCCAGTATACACTTACAACAAATTCAAGTCCATTTCCCAAGAATATAATACCACTTCACAGGTGGTACTGAATAATAACAAAATAATTACTCCCTCTTGTTCTTTGTACAATCATTGCTGTCATTCATATCATGCTGATATGGGCGATCCAAGGGCAGGTATACACTGGTTTGTTGTGCTTCACTTTATTGCACTTGATACTTTTTTTTTAATACTGTGTTTTTTATAAACTGGTGCTCCTTCACCGGCAAAAAAAGATTACAGCTTGCTGAAGGCTTATGGTGATGGTTAACTTTTTTTTTAAACAATAAACTTTTAAGTACTACGTTTTTGAAAGAGAGAGAGCTATTATTGCACCTTTAAGAAACTATAGCACAGTATAAATGTAACTTGTATGCAGTGGGAAAATTGAAAGAATTGTGTGACTTGCTTTATTGCAATACTGACTTTATTGTGGTGGTCTGGAACCAAACTTAAAATCTGAGGCATGCCTGTATATGTATGTGTATACCTATATACATACATACATAAACACTTCTGTGCGTGTATTTATACATACTTGCATAGATAATCTAATACGTTATTTTGAGCAAGCTGCTGTCTGTTAGATCAACTACTAATCACCACCCTCTAATCCATAGACAGATGATTCCCAGGGATTGTCCTGAACACTTCCTTCAAGGAGAGTGTGTTCATTCTACTTAAACAGCTCTGGTGTTTAACACACTCAAGACTCTTCTCTTTGTCTCATTTGTTTGCCTTTGAATGAGTCTAGGTGCAAGGAGAGAAAGGGGTGGGGAATAGTCTATGGGCTTTCCCTAAGGGCCAGAGCAACCCTACTCACTGGGCTTTTTTAAAATTTTATTTTATATATATTTTATATCGTTCTTCCTTTTTGTACAATGCATGCTTTCTCCTCTCAGGTGTAGTCCCCATAAAATTCCCAACACCAGTTCACCTGCACACCATCACCATAGTCTCTTGTGTAAGAACACATCCCTCCCCTCTTTTGATCCCTCACCCCGCCCCTGCTGAGTGTCTCTGATTAATAGTTCTTTGTTAATTTTGTTTTCTGATTTATTATAATTATTTTTTTTTCCTGGTCCCTTAGTTGGTTCCCCAACATGCCTCCTATAAGTGAAACCATCCGATACATCCGATATTTTTCTTTTTCCTTGTGGTTTATTTCACTGAGCATAATCCAGGCTTTTTGGGGCAGTCAGACACCAGCATGGATGGCGATATTGGGCTCAGCCCCCCAGGTCAGTGAGATCACAGTGTAGAGAGGTGCGGGGGTTACAGTGCTCCAGGAGGACTTCCTCAAAGAAGAGAGCTGGCCATAGGCCAGGAGATAGGGGCAGCCTTTGGGAAACTGCGGTGGTGGACAGGATCAAGACAGGAAGTGACCAAAACATTGGGATTGGGGAATGTGGAAGTTAAGTCCATATCCATTGAGTGCCTCAGTGCCAAGACTTTGGGATCTTCCAAGAAGGGAAGGTCTTTGGTTCTGTTTCACTCATCTGTTGAGCATCCACTCAGAAAGATTCTTTCTCTATTTTCTTTCATGCACCGTGAAATCAAAGAATCATTGGAGACCACCTAGTCCAAGCTTCCCCTTTACACAGGTGAAGAAATGGAGGCCTAGGTGGGTAGAAGAAACAGATTCAGAATCACAATGACTCAGTAGCAGAGCCCATGCTGCCTCCTCATTCCAGCTCCCTTGGCTACTTGGAACCCAAAGCAGCAGAAGCCCTTACCCTGACTGGAGCGAGGAGATGAGGACTGAGGAGAGGCCCCCCCAGACTGCTACTGGTGGCAGCTGCTAGCATCTGTTTTCTCAGCAATTTAATTTGGGTGATGCTGAGGACACATATTGGATGAGGAAGGAAAAGCGGTGAACTGTGGGGAGTCTGGTGGGAAGTTTGGGTGGGCTTGAGAGGAAAGTGCTCTCCCTCTGCTGGTCATGGACCCCTGCTTCTGCCCTCCATGGTCTGCCCTCTCTCAACCTCCCCTGCATGCCAACTGCTGCCAGCCAGAGGGCCAAATAGAGGCCTGGTACGGCCTTTTTCCTTGCATTCCCTTCACTCATACTCCTCTGCCTGTCTCTAAAATGGTTCAAAATTCCAAACATGAGAAGACTTTCCTATGCAGCTATGCAAATTTATGAGTGTATGAGTATGTGTGTGTTTTTCCCAACTGCCCTCTTTAGTCCCATCATTCCTCACCTCCCATAACTGAAAGAGGCACCTTTCACGCCCTGGGCCTACCTCCAGGAAGACTCCCCCAGGGTAAAAAGGACAGGGGCTTTTATCTTTAGGAGAGTCCACTTCTCTAAGGTCCTGCCTTTCTGTTGGTCCCCAGTCCTCTAAGAGACCTGAGCTGCAGCCACCAAGCTGTGCTGCATCCAACTTGGATTCCAGCACGATGAGTGGCCCCCGCAGGGCTTCTGTAGCTGGGACTGTGATGAAGGGAAATTTGGTCCTGTGTTCCTTTGTTATCGCTGAGATTGCTTAGCTTGCTTAGGGGAACTGGGGCTACTCTGGGGTACTTAGCTTTTTTTTTTTTTTTTTTAATCTTGGGAGAATGTGAATGATCTCTTTCTTGATTAGAGCATTTCAGTGCATTCTCGAATTGTCTCTGGTGCTAAAGAGGAATGCATGAGTGAGTGTGTGTATTTTTCCCTGCTGCCCTCTAGTCCCATCATTCTTCACCTCCCATAGCTGAATGAGGCACCTTCCTGGGCCTACCTCCAGGAAGACTTCCTCCAAGGTAAATGGGGGGTCTTCTGGAGCCTCCCTTGTGTCCTGGGAGGGTCTGCTGGCCTGCGTGCTGCCAGGGGATTGACTAATGTTGCAAACCATCACATCCTGGCCACCCACAAGAGAAAGATTATCTGGGTCAGAAAGTTGCTGGCAGAATTAATATGTAGGAAGGGGCCTTGCTGTTCACCTGACCCCACGACTCAGTGTGCTGGTCCTGACGACAGACTTGGGTTCCCCCGAGTGTTGCAACTATTCTCAAAATTGGATTCCATTGTAATGGGAGGGATTTGAGCTGGATGTGAATTGCTTAGGATGTTGCAACTGGAGGGGGTGTGTGTGTATAACATTTGGCCAAAACTCACTCCTGTGGGCTAGGCCTGAGAAGGTCTTGGTTCCTCTTGTGATATCTGTGTCTATCTAAGTCAGTAAAAAACATCCTCAGGTTCTGCAAGCCAGAGTAGACTGTTTTTTTCATCATACTTTATCCTTCCCAGGCCACAGCTGGGGAGCTGCGATCGACAGGTGAATTGGGCAAGGCTGGATTAAACATTAATGCAGCTGTCACCACTGCCCAGAGGAGAAAGGGCCCCAGAGCCAAGCTACAGAGCTGTCTGGTGACCTCGGAACAAGGAGGTAGTAACCAGCAGACATGGCTGAATTTTCCCAAGTCCTGACCGAAATAGGCAACTTTGGACGCTTCCAGAAACAGCTGCTGATAATGCTGAGTATTCCCAATTTCCTGTCTGCCTTCAACATGTTCTCCCAAATCTTCATGACCCTGGATGAGGTCCACCACTGTTCAGTGCCCTGGGTCAAGAACCACACTTTCAACCTGAGTGCTGCTGAGCAGCTGTCACTGAGCGTGCCCCTGGATGCAGCAGGCCGCCCCGAGTCCTGCCTCATGTTCCGGCCACCCCCCGACAACGCCAGCCTGGAGGACATCCTTAGCCACTGCTTCAATGAGACACAGTCTTGTGATTCGGGATGGGACTATCCTGAAAACAGGGCCCTGTCCCTACTGAATGAGGTAGGGCTGCTTTTGCCCATCTGCCCACCTGTTTCCTCATCCCGATCCTCTGCTCCTGGTCATTGGAGTCGCTGCTCTTGCCCATCTGCCCCCATGCCCATCTGACTGGACACTGGTACACCTGTTTTTCTCTTCGCCGCCTGCCTATCAGCCCATCTACCTCCCTGTCCATTTTCTCTGGCTGGTCTGTCCACCCACCTGTCCATTTTTGTCTGTCCCTTTATCTCTGCCTGTTTGCCCAGTCACCTGCCTTTATCATGCGCTCCCCTGTTTTCCTGTCTTTATGCCGTTCTTTCTCTCCAGTGTTCCCATCGGTTTGTCCATTTGCCTGTACCTTTCAGTTGCCCCCCATGTCTGCCTGCTTACCTGCTTTCCCGACTCTCATGTTACCCCCTTCCTTGCCCACTGGTCACCTTCCTGCTTGCTTGACTGGGGCTCCTACCTTTCACCTTCTCTCTAGATCTCTGTCTGCCCCTGCGATGCTGGTGGGTCAGCATGACTTCAGGGTGTGTCCTGTAGATACTGAGCATTTGTTCTTATTAAAGTTATTTTCTTAGGAAGGACCCAGGGAGATGAACAGGAAGAGTCCCACTCCAGCAATCTCAAAGCCAGCAGGGGCCTCAGAAAGCATCTAGAAACCTCTCTTGCTTCCCAGGCGGTAGGGTTGAGCCAGAGTCGGGAAACAGCTTGACCAGTGCCTCATAATGACTTGGCTCTGGAGCTGGGGCTTCTCTGGGGGGCACCTGCTGCCCAGATCCCTGCAGGACAGACCAGAGACCTGAGGGCTGGTGTTATTGGGAGGTTCTCCCTCTATCACCTTGATGGTGGCAAATCCTGAGCCTTTGTGGTGAGGGAATCTGGAGTCCTGAGATTAAACATTTTCTACCCCATGGGTTAAAAAAAAAAAAAGTATTTTTCAGGGCTTTCAGCCAAACATTTGCTTCTTAATATGTGACCATAAACCTACCCCCAGGACCCTGGCACCCTGAGGATGTGTCCGTTTCCCTGTGACCATCCATCTCACACCACCCCAGGGGGGAGGGGTAGCTTAGAGGCCCTCCCAGGCTCTAGATACAGCCCAGCAGGGCCCAGTCTTATCCTCACTGGCTTCCCATTATCTCCCCAGCACCAACCCCCATGGCCGATCCCAGCCTCCACGGGTCCTCGGGTGCTGTGGGTGGGCTCTCCCTCACTGCATGTTATAAACTCTCCCCACCTGCCAGGTATCATCCTTCAAGGCCAGGCAAATGCCCAGATCTCTCAGAGCTGACTCTGGCCCTTGTCTATACCCTGCACTGGACTGTTCTTTGGATTCAAAGTCCCTTGAGTATTGACTGTGAAGGAAACAGTCAGAGGCGGGAAACCTGCTATTTCTCTTCTCCAAGGACCCCTGGTGGTCAGGGACCGTCTTGGCTCCTTGCAGAGGGAGAAAGGGCTGGGTGGGTTCTGAGGCCAGAACTCATAAGTATCTTATGAGTGTCATAAAAATGTACTCACACTATGAAATTTAATGCATTTCATCTCTATATGGCTTCTACATAAAATAAATCAATTGAATTAATCCCTATGATCTGGATCAGGAGAGGGATATGTGATGATGGGGTGTGTTCCAACAAATGGTGATGAGATTTTGCAGACGACCTTGGTAGGACCCAGACACAACCATCCACTGTGGGGGCTCCTGGTGCTGGGGAGGTTCATGACTCTCCAGAGCCCCACATTGGAGCCCCTTTTCATCTCCCTCATATGTAACACGATGCCACCACAGGAGCTTGGTACACCCTCGTACCTCACCCAGTTGCAGAGTGGGAATGACACCCCTCTTGTGAAGTTGGAGTGAGGTGTGGATGGTGGCACTGCATGGGAGTGCTGGCCTTGGAGACCCCGTGGCTTGGCACCCATGCCTTCAGAGCATTACAGCCATGTCCGAGGCATCTGTCGCCGGCTGCCAGCTTCATGAACAAAGGGATCAGGGTGTCCTCAGCTAATATTTGCCAAGAGCTTCCTGTGTGACAGGTACTGGGCCAAACACGTAACATGTGTTCATTCCTTTCTTACTATCAGGTGGTACTCTTTGGAATATCTTGTCCTTCCTTTGTACATTGGAAGCTCACAGGGTCAAAGTCACTCAATCCCCACTCCAGAGGCTGACATCAGCAGAGTTTATTTATTATTATTAATGTTAAATTGTGTCTAACGAAAAAGATAAAATAGTGTCTAACTATAAAGATAATATTAAACAAAAACCAAACTGGAAAGAACTAGGTGGAATACGAGAGGCAGTCTCCTGTCCTGCCTTGCTTCCTTCTCTGGGCCAATCAGTTAATCATTTGACACATACTGAAAGTTCTAAAAATTGAACAGTTGTCCTTGAGAACAGAAGTATGAGCACAACAGTGTCTCCTGGATTAATTTCTTAGCACCTCTCCTAATATTAAGAGCAGTCTTTTCTGCTGTACAGTCAGAATATTAAGGTTTAATAAGACTCCCATGATTTGGGACATGTGCTGGAGGCCAAAGGTCATCTAACTGGAGGTGATGGGCTAGTTGGCCAGCTGTGGGGATCCTTCCTTCCGTCCACAAACATTCTTAGCTCTCACTCAGTTTCAGCCCCTGTCTGGGTGATGGTGACGTCTGAATTCCACTTCATCCAGCTATGGATTATCTGTCTCAACTCCTCCCTCAGGGACTATGATAATAAAGCAAGGATTTTTGTCAGAATTATATGAGAACGTGCACAGAGGGCATTTAGCACGGTACCCAACAGAGAAAATATACAAAAGGCTTTAGACATGGTTGTGCAGCTGCCTCCTTGAGCTCACATGTCATCTTGTGTCCCCTCACTCCCCAAATACGCCTTTGTGTATGGAGCAAAGCTGTTTCAGGGGGGCCGCAGAACTCCCCAAGGGGCCACAGACCAGTGGGGACGGAGGTGAGTCTCATCCACCAGTTAGAGGTGCACATGCAGCAGACGGTACAGTGACATGGACAGCGTGTTTACTCCACGCGGCTTCCCGGTCTGTCCTCAGTGAGCGTCCAGGGGGACTGCACCACCCCCATCGTGTGTGTGTGTGTGTGTGTGTGTGTGTGTGTGTGTGTGTGTGTGTGTGTTGCGCGCGCATGCTGTCCTCCATCTTAGTCTCCTGCCTCAAGGACTGTACGAGGGCTCCCTAGGATTCTGATTGCCGGTGAAAGATGGGAGTTTTAGGGGGATTTTGCAGCCAGATGGGAAAACTTGGAGAGGCCCAGCTGGGTTACAGCACCCTGGCTGGGGGAGGAGGCCCAGTGGGTCAGGAAGCAGCAACTAATGGTCAAAGGTTCCCAAACCTTGTATCCTGTGTCAGTAACTTTACATGTTTCTCCAGGACAAAAGAAATACCTAAGAATTTTATGTATTAAGTAATTAGGTCCAAACAGCAACTACTAACAATTTAGTAGTTGTTTAGAAAAAAAATACACGTGCATTGAAAGAAAACATTTTTATTTCATTTGTAAAGCTATTACTGACAGGATGTATGTGCCTATTGGAAACTGCACAACTTTTTACCACCACCCTCATTTTCTGCTCCACATGATTTTCACAAGGTGCTTGCCTTTTTTCCTCAGCAACTGCCAAAAATACAACTTCACACAAATATGTGCCACTGGAAGGAAGGTAGCGTGATCTCATGTGAAGACTGAACTCCCTGAGCGAGCAGTTTGTGTGATTTCATGGTGCTGAGTACTGCTGCATTTTGCTTTAAGTTCTAAACTTCATGCTGCTTTAAAACGCACACTCCACTGGTTCATTCTGGGGCCCTAGAGTGCCTTGACACACAGTTTGGGAACCAAACATTTCCAGTGGGTGGGCTAAATGATAAAGGAGTGGCCCTCAGCTGCCCCTGAGATGTCAGGTGTCCATCTGCTGTGTCTGCCCTAGTTCAACCTGGTCTGTGGCCGGAAGTACCTGGAAAAGACCTCGCAGTCGGTATACATGGCGGGGCTCCTCGCCGGGACCCTCATCTTTGGACCCCTCTGCGACAGGTAAGAAACCTGGCCGTCCCCCGGCCTAGCATGTACTGAGTCCTGGCACGAGTCCCCCTTATGCCCCTCACTCTGATCTCTAGGATGGGGCCCTGCCCCTCCCCCCACGGGACTCCCAGGTCAGGCCATGTACCCATTCCCCACCCCCCAGAAGGAGATCCCAGGGCTGGCCGAAGCTCCCTTGCCTGCTCCCTCAGGTAGACTCCAGGAGGGAGCACCCCACAACATCCGCCCTTTTATTACCCAAGGATTGGTCGAAGGATCATAATCCTGGTGCAGCTTTTGCTCTTTGCTCTCTTCGGCCTGGCCACAGCCTTTGTGCCCAGTTTTGAACTCTACATGACCCTGCGCTTTGCTGTGGCCACTGCTGTGGCTGGATACACCTTCAGCAACGTCACCCTACGTGAGTATCGGGGCGGTCATCCTCAAGTCATGGGGTGAGGCCTGGGCCTCCGCTGGCCATGCTCCCCAGCCTGCATGCATTGTCAGGTGCCCGCCCCACCTAGAGTGGTCTCATACCCCCTTCTGTGCTGGTCTGAGCTCCAACCCTGACAGGGCGGGGTCTAGGGAGAAACAGGCTTCCCGGGGCAGGGTCTGGCCCAGGCTCAGTCTCTCTCTTCACACAGTTTCAGAGTGGGTAGGGCCTGCGCAGAGGACTCAGTCTGTGGTCCTGACCCACTGTTCCTTCTCCATCGGAGAGATGGTGCTGGCGGGACTGGCCTATGGCGTCCGTAACTGGAGGCTCTTCCAGATCTCCTGCACAGCACCTGTCTTGCTGCTCTTCTTTTACTTTTGGTGAGAAGACACTACCCAAAAGCCAGCCACCCCTGGGTTAGCTGTGCCAGCTGTGGTTGGAGTACAAGGCTCACAATTATCTCCTGGGCTCTGGGATGCACATCTGGGGAAGGAGCCTGCAGAGGTGTGGGTTTCAGGGTATGCTAGAGCAGCCAGAAGACTCCCGGGGAGGTTCCAGGTCTCCAGGCCCCAAAGTCACAGCCATTTCCAACCTACAGGGCTCTGCCAGAATCTGCACGGTGGCTTCTGACCCAGGGGAGGATAGAGGAGGCTAAGAAAGTGATTCAGAAGGCGGCTTTGGTCAACAAGCGCAAACTCTCCCCAGAGCTCCTGAACCAGGTACTTGTAGCAGCCTGGGCCAGCCCTGCCTCTGAATCTGGCCATGTGACATTTCAGCCAGCCCCCTCACTCTGTGTTTTCCTCTCAGCTGGTTCCAGAGAAGACAGGCCCCAGGGGGAATGCCCTGGATCTTTTCAGACATCCCCAGCTCCGGAAGATCACCCTCATCCTCTTCTGTGTCTGGTGAGTGCGCTGGGGCCCATACCCCTCCCTGAGACCTGAGCCAAAGGGCTGCCACTGACTAGTGTGTCAGTGGGCAGTGGTGGGAGGGGGCACTCTGGCTGGAACGGGCTGTCTGGGAATGACTGTCTCACCCTGGCTCTGCCACTGTCTCTTGGTGTGATGGCGTCTCATCAGTAACAACAGATTCTTGGACACTTTGCAGGTTTGTGGACAGTCTAGGGTACTTTGGCCTGAGTCTCCAAGTGGGGGACTTTGGCCTGGACATCTACCTGACACAGCTGATATTCGGGATGGTGGAGGTGCCTGCCCGCTGCTCCAGCATCTTCATGATGCAGTGGTTGGGCCGCAAGTGGAGCCAGATGGGGACACTGATTCTGGGTGGCCTCATGTGCATCATCATCATCTTCATCCCAGCAGGTGCCAGGGCTGGCTCTCCCCTGCCCCCGCCCCTTCTCCGTCCCCTGCTGCCATGGGCTAAACCAATGGCCACTGCGCTTCCCTTTAAGGAGCCAGGGCTTCCTGGGATTTGGGGACCGAGGGTGAGGCGTTTCGGTGGACAGGCAGGGTGCAGGGCTGAGCTGATGGACTGACCAGCATCCTCCTGCAGACCTGCCCGTGGTGGTCACCGTGCTGGCCGTGGTGGGGAAGTTCGCCACATCTGCTGGGTTTACCATCACCTACGTGTACTCTGTTGAGCTCTTCCCCACCGTGCTCCGGTAAGGGCTGCCGCTGAGGCCCTGCTCCTCTGCCCCTGGAGCCCTGGCTTTGGCCGTTCTCCTCTGCCCTCATGGTCTTGCCACAAATAGCTAATGGGGCTGACTCCAGCACAGCAGTGGGGTGCAGGGTCACTAGAAATCTCCCCCAAGCCTCCAATCTGTCCCCATCTGATGGAGAACAGATACAGAAGTGGCCATGCCCTGCCCTGGTCAGGACTAGAACACAGGGTAAATCTCAGAATAAACTGCCCAGAAAAAGGAACACTCAGGTGGGGTCTGGGGGTGGTCAGGAGGCGTAGCCTCTGACCTGAGATTTGGTGGATGATGGGGGTGTAGCAAGCAGACAGAGAAGCCTAAAGGGAGAAACATGGCTCACAGTGAGGTTTCAAGTGTTTTCAGCGCACAGGGGTAGAGAGTGGGAAGGCCGGCTGTGCTGGGTGGGCCTGAACACCCTGCAGCCTGTGGCAGCCACAGAGGGGGCCCTGGGCCCTCTGAAGGCAGTGAACAGCATGGGGAGCTACAGACCGGAGTGGAGGTTGGGTCCATTCACTTTGTATTGGTCACCCCCAGGCAGACAGGCATGGGACTGGTGGGCGTCTTCTCGAGGATCGGGGGCATCCTCACACCGCTGGTGATCCTGCTGGGCGAGTATCACGTGGCCCTGCCTAGGATCATCTACGGCAGCCTCCCCATTGGGGTGGGCTTGCTCTGTGCCCTGCTGCCAGAGACACGTGGCCAGAGCCTGAAGGACACCATCGAGGACCTGGAGCAGTGGCACCCCCCACAGTAAGATGTTTGCTTCCTCTGTAGCCCAGGATTGGGGCCTCACATCAATGACATCCATTCCAGAAGGCCAGGCCTCTCCCTCACCTTCATGTGGTGAGGCCTCCGGAAGCACAGATGTGTGACCGGCTCTGGGTTCATGTTCCCTACTTTGGTGGGTGTTGGTGACAGAAACTGCCATGGGACTAACTCCTGATGAGCCCGTGATGGCCTTCTGCTCCCTCCAGGTCTCCGAAGTCAGCACCTTCAGAAAATGAAGCGGAGGATGCAGGGAGAACTTCCAGGGCAGGGGAGGCCTTCGTGAGCAGCACGTACTTCTGACGGCAACTAAGAGCTAGAGCGGCAGTAGCAGGGAGCTGCCTAAACATTCCCCTGGAGCTGGCCGGGATCCATGAACAAGACCAGCCTGGCCCTGGAGGGAGCCCACCGAGACCCGGCCCAGCACCCATTGCAGGCTGCGGAACCCAAACCAGAAGATGGGGGACAGCACCTCCCTCCTTTCAGCCCCTCTCTCATTCCCACGGCCAAACCCCTAGTACCCTGCTCTGGCTTAGGGTCCTGGGTGTGTTTTGGGCTTAACTTGTTCTCTGGTAGCCTCATTAGAGACCCCCTATATTAGACCACACATATTACCCCTTATATTAGACCTCCATCATCCTCATTCACCCCACTAAGAATGTAGGGAGAGAACTGCAGGCCAGATGAAGGGGAGGCAGAGTGCTTTTGGGGGGGGCAAGTGTTATCGCTGGAGGAATTTCTGGGTGTTTGAGGCACCAGACACAGGTGGGATGTGCAAGAGGTCCCCTGCCCTCAAAAGTGTCAAACCCAAACCAGAACACCTAGGTAGGGCTTTTCCAAGTATGTGCGAGTAGGAGGAGGAGAAATGTGAGATTGTAGGTTCTGTCCAGGCTCGTGAAAGCAAAGACTAAAGAGAAGGTTGAGGTTCTTGCTTGTGCCCAAACTGTGTGACTCGGGGCCAGCATTGGGGGAAGACGTTGGTCCTGTTCCCTTGGGCCCCTCTCCCCTTTCACAACCTACTGCCTGTGACTCCTGTACAGCCAGCAAGCAGTTCAGGGTGAGGGGAAAGGGCGTAGGTGTTGTTACTTAGCCACCGGTCAGAGTGCTTTCCAGGTTCACACTGGCTAATCATCAGCCTTCCAGAAGGCCTCTAAAAGCTCTTCACAGACTGGATTTGTGTGTTTCACAGAGACTCTGGGGATCTCTCGTTGCTCATTAGCATGAGCAATGCACTCATCACTGACCTCTTGGGCCCTTTTCAGCGGCTGCCCCCAGCTTTGTTCTCATAGTCTCTCCCCGGGCAACCTCGCTTCAGAAGAAAGCCCTCATGGGCGGGGGCCCATGGAGCAGCCTCAAGCCAGGCTACCTTGCACAGCTACTGCTTGGCCCACAAGAACACCACACAACCTCTTGCCACCAAATGGCGGGTGGGGCAGAGGTGGGGGTGGTGCCCTCCACTGCCCTCCCCTTGTCCGGCCTTCAAAAATCTCTCTACCTAACCTCCCACCAGACAGTGGGGTTTCAGTCTCTTCTTCCCACAGATGTCCCCAGCCCGACATAAATGTTCTTTCTGAACCTCTCTCCCTCTGCTCGTCTTCTCTGGTTGTAGCCTGAAGGGAGTGGTAGGTAAGCGTTTGACTGTAAATCCAGTGTGGGGGTGCCAGAGCCCCTCTTGATTAGATGGATGTTTATTACTCATGGTTCTCGGCTTTGCATGTAGGTGAAAGTTCTCTTTAGCTTCCTGCTGTGTACATTAATGGAGTCCTAAGCTCAACAACACACATATTTTTGGCACAAGGTAGCCCCAGGCTGACAAGGCCCTGTGTGACATCTCCAGCCGAAAGCGGTTTTCTCCTCTAAGATCGTTGTGTCCCTTTGAGGCAGAATATTCTTCACTCTTGGAAAGGGACTTAAATCGGCCCTTTATTGACCCAAGCCTAACACATTCACTGATGGCCTTTGGGAAGGTCTTCAGAGACTTTAAATTTTTCTAGGGATTGTAGACTTAGGCGAGAAAGATTTTTCTCTTTATGTACTAAAGTGTGCCCTATGACTTGTTCTGGTTTACAGGTGAGAGTCTCTTAGCAGTCTCTGCTGTGGGCTCTGCAGCGGAGCCCAGGACCTCTGAGGAGAGAGGTAGACCTGCTCTTGACTTTACTCAAGCAGCAGGATATAAAGGGGCCTGAGCGGGCCCGGAGGTGACAGGTACAGACCGGGCCGTGGTTGTTCTTCACTGGGTGTTCAACAAGGAACAACCAGGATTCGGCTCACATCTCAGGTCTCTGGGGCAAGGGTCATCCTATTCTGGGCTCCAGGCTTCCCAGTGTAGAATAGGTGATGTCACTGGTCCTTTTCCACTCATCCTCCAGGATTCTGATCTTGGGTGCCCTGGCTGGGTGTGAATGGAAACGCCTCCAGCAGTCTGTCCCCAAGGCTCCGGGAGACAGGAAAAGAGGATCACCGCCCATCACCCAAGCGCTACAGGCTTGGCGTGGGCCTGAGTCCCTGAGCTGGGCCTGGCTCACACACCCTGGGCTCCGCCTCACTCACTGACCCACTCACCCATTCATCTGTCCGGGGCCCCCCGTGTACCTTGCCCTGCCCTCAGGAGCACACTAGAACCACATATCCACCAGTCACCTGCTATGAACTCCCCAGTGCCCTGGAAATGTGTAAACAAGACAGCTGACCCAGTGTGTGGGGTACGGAAGGCCCCCAGAGCGTAGTCAGATGAAGGGGAGGCAGAGTGCTGTGGGGAGGCAAGTGTTATAGCTGGAAGAATTTCTGGGTGTTTGAGGCACCAGACACAGGTAGGATGTGCAAGGCCCATTCTTAATTTTGAGCTTTGTTCTGAGGGCAATAAAGGTCATGTTTTCTTTTTTCTTGAAACAAAGGAATGACCCAATAGGATTTGTATTCTAAAAATCTATTTGAAGATTGTGGTGGAAGAGGGTAAAAGAGGGAGCAGAGAAACCAGGCAGGGCATGATTCCAATGCTGGACTAAATTGCAAGCATCAGTGACCTCCGTTTATCCTCACAACATTGTGATGGAAATGGGGTGATGTGATGGCCGTGGATCCGACACGGGGGCGGGGTGGGGGGCGGGGAGGGGGGGAGGGGGCTGGATCTGAGAGGAAGCCAGGAGCCAGGCCCCTTTTTACATGGTTGCGCCTCTGGCCTGTGTCCTGGGTGCAGAGCTTAGCATCTCGGTTTCCTTTGGCTTTACCAAAAAAAAAACAAACTCACTCCCTGGCCACTTGGCCCAGGCCTGCCCCGCTCGGAGACACTCCGAAATCAAGACCACTACACAGGGCATCTCGTGTTCATTAATTCAATGTCCAAAGCCCAAGGGACCCCTACACTGCCCCAGTGAACGCCCCTTTTTCAACATTGTTCCCCTGACCTGGCCCCAGTGCATTGCCACCCTCTCAAGCCTGTGACTCCGGCACTGCTGGAGCGGACGGCAGAGTCCTCAGCCCTCTCAGAAGCTTTTCCCGTTATGCATTCTCTCATGACTTGGTCAGGGGGTGGAGAGCGGGGAGCCCCTTGCTCCCTGTTTCTGGTGCTCCACTACCATGGCCCCTGCCACTTGGAAAAACCTCTCTTGTAGAACCTCTTCCTTGCTCACTTGACTTCCAACTGCCATTGCCTTGTTCTGGGCTGTCCCTTTTATGCTAGCTCCTGCTATTATCTTGGAAAAATTCATCTCTTCCTCCAAAATTTCAAAAATTTCTAGCACAGAGGTGAATGAAAGAAGGACTCTCAAGAGCAGACATCCCACTGTCTGGCCCCAGCATCCCGTCCTTCCAGCTGGTTTGCTCCACAGTCGCGTCTGCCTTAGCCTGCCCAGGCTGCAGAACCAAGCACTATGGGCAGGGTGGCTGAAAAACAGGAATTTGTTTTCACACAGTTCTGAGGCTGGACGTCCAAGATCAGGGTGCCAGCAGATCTGCTGAAGGTCCCCTCCCAGCCTGGCAGATAGCTGCCTTCTCTGTGCCCATGGAGCCATGTCTCCCCACCCTCTAACCTGTAGCTTCAAATTTTTGTTAGAAAAGAACTAAGTAGAATTAAATACTAAGAACCCTTTTTCCTCCCTTCGCTATGTCCCTCCCCTCATGACTTATTCTCCAGCTGTTCTAACAAAATTCTCTCTGCCCCTCCATGTTCCTAACAACAGGAAATCTGCGGGCCTTTACAGTCTGTGAACCCCACTAGAACATTCTCGGCTGAAGAAAATAAACAATGTAACTTAAAAGACTATACTGCCTGGAGCATTCTGGGGACCTGGGAATGCCAAGCTCTTTACTCCTATCATCTCCCGCACCTCTTCACATTGCCCTCCCCACCCCCATGTAATCACAGCACCCCACCATTCAGGGAAGCAGATTCTTTTAGGTACTAGTCCTGCAGATGCCTCCCTTGCTGTCCCCCTTGTATATAATGAACTCCTTTGTGAAAAGACATTTCTGTGTAGGGGGGTTTGGCTCTCTGAGTGGTAAGCAAAAGAGCTGGTTTGGCCATGCAGACCCTTCCTTAGCCTCATTGGGCCTTTTGGAAGGCCAAAACACCTTCCTTAGCCTCATTGGGCCTTCTGGTCTGTTGACCTTGTTATTTTCTCCTCACTGTATCCTCTCTGATAGTAGGATGTAAGCCACCCTTTCAATTTCTGTTGAGAGATTATTTCTCTCTGTTGCCAAACCCTACACTTCAACCCTTTGGCAGTACCAACTAGAAAAGTCGTAGCAGTGAACGAGCCCCGCTGGCCCCCTGTACTCCCCCTGCACCCCAGACTGCAGGAGGTGCTAGAGTCACGCTGGGCAAGTCTGCCGTGGGGAGCACGGTCATCAGCCTCAACCAGTATTCACTCTTAACAGCACCCAGCATTCCTATCAGCTTTTAAAGATCAGTTTGTTTTCCAGCTTTCACCAGAGACTACTTCTGATTTCCACTGGGCATCCTGAGCCCTTCCTCCTACCCATAACAGATAGCTTCTCCTCCCACATGTGGCAGCTCCCCAGTCTTCCTACCACCGAATCTTTAACTTGCACCCTCCTCCCTCCACCCTCCCGCTGCAGTGAAAGAACTGTCCTGCACAACATCGGTAGTGAAGTCAAAGGTGAGCATATGACCCCAGGGCATATGACCCCAGCGCGGACAACGACAGAACAAGACCCAAAAGCAAGTACGTGCTCTGAAACAATAACCACGTTTACAGCCTGAGATTTAGAGAGTGAGAAACCGGACTTAGGGAGTGAGCAAAGTGGAGAGAGAGAGCCAGCGAGAATGAATTCACAGGCTGGCATGTGGACAGAAGTCGTCTTTTCCACTCCAGAGTGCACTGAGCAGAGATCCAGGGCCAAGCCAAAGCCTTATGTGGCAAGTTGGTGGCTTCTGCAGACGCCCATCCTCACCAGCAGCTCCACTGCCAAAGCCCCAGAAGCTTAAGTGGTTAAAAACCCCAGCAATTTAACTGCCCCCAAATCCAACAGTTTATCTGGTTGAAAGCCCAGTAATTTATCTGATCAAAGTCCCAGCAGTTGGACTAGCCAAGAGCCTCAGCAGCTTAACTGCCTAAGAGCCCAGTAGTTTGTATGTCAAAAGTCCAGCAGTTTTAACTGGTCAACAGCCCCAGCATTTCAACTGGCCAAGAGCCTCAACAGTCTAACTGCCCCAAAGCCCAGCAGATTAACTGCCAGATGCCCAGCCCCCCCCCCATTTCCCATCAGGCCCTGCTCAGGGGGGTGGGGTTGGAAAAGCTCCACCTTCTATCACATTGGTTATGAGCACCACCCACTGGCTGGAAGGCTGTGCCCGGCTCTTCCTCTCACTGGGCCACTGAGGTCTAGGTTGTTACTCAGCTCCCACCTCTGCCCCCAGGACTGGGAGCTGCTGCTGCTGGTAGGGCCTATTTCTTCTCTGATTCTGTTGCCTATAAACTCTCTCCCCATTAGGCATGGGGACCGGGGTTGGGCAAGCTGTGTCTGGAATGATGGGATAATTTCCCTCAGTGGACATGGAGTCTTTATGGGAAGGGCTGGTGCTGGTGCTCCATGTCCTGGGAGCAGTCTGTACCAAGGCATGGGATGGGTTCATGCGGGGATTTTCTCAACCTGCTCTACCCATCCTGACCTTAGGGTGTGGTCAGCTGTGCTCCTGGAGTAGAATGCTGCTCCCCACCATTCTCACACCCCCCCCGCCCCCCCCCCCCCCCCCCCCCCCCCGCCGCAGGACTCCTCCATCCCATTGTGATACCACTCCCTAGCCACCAAAGAAACCCACGGTTCCTCTTCCTAGAGTCCCGCTGGACCTGGATTGTGGTCTGGTAGGCCCTGGCTTTCGCTTGTGGTCTTATCTTTAGGGAGGAGGGGCTGGGAGGTGGTGGAGGATGGAGATTATGATGATCCTGAGAAATTGTGGGGCTGCATTCTCAGCACAGATGTGGACAGGAGCCAGCAGGAGCCGGGTCGGCTGTGGGGAGTCTGTGGAAGGAGCTGGCTGCCCTCACAGGGAGTCTGAGTTCTCAGGTGTGGCTCAGGACTGTTTCCTGCCTCAGATGGAGTGCCAGTTCTGGCTATACCTTTCTTCCCAGGACTCAGTCTCCTGTTTTTGTACATTGAGAACCAATTGCCTGGGGCCTATCCACCTGGAAAGGGTTCCTTTGGGGTCAGTAGCAGGGTCTTGTACTGGCAGAGCCCAGATGATGCTGGTGTGGGGGAAGAGGGCGGTCACTGACGGGGACCTTGCAGGAAGGGCTGGTACAGCTGGTTCCAGACCTGAAAGCGAAATCTCTGTGAGGAGACAAAGCTTCCCTCCCTGGGAGATCTGCTCTGGCCACTTCCACTCCCCTCTATGCATAACAGGGCATTAGTTTTCTGTAACTGCTGTAACAAATTACCAGAGGCTTAGTGGCTTAAAACAAGGCCCAATGCCTTGATACAGATGGTTCCCTAGTACAGATCTGCAAAACTTCTGAGTTCTGCAGGTTTCTATGAGTTTGACTTTGTTTTTTCAGTTCCACATATAAGTGATACCATGAATTATTTATGTTTGTCTTATTTCAGTTAGCATGATGCTTTCGAGATCCATCTATGTTGTCCTAACCTGCAGGGTTTCTTTTTTTGTCATAGCTAAATAATATTCTGTTGTGTACATATACCACACCTTTATGTGCTCACCCATGGGTGGACAATAGCGTTTCCATTTCTTGGCTGTTGTGATAACTGCAATGAACGTGAGAGTCCAGACATCTATTCGAGATAGTGATTGCACTTTCTTTAGCTATCTACCTAGAAGTGAGATTCTTGGATCATATAGCCTCCATATGGTTTTTCAGTGACTGCACAAATTTACATTCCTACCGATGGGTAGGAGGGTTCTTTTTTCTCTATATCCTCACTATTGGCATGCAACTATGCACTTGTGTTGTCTTTTTGATGACAGCCATTCTAATAGGCTTGAGGTCATATCTCTTTGTGGTTTTGTTTTGCATTCCTTTGGTGGTTAGTGATGTTGAGCATCTTTTCATGAACCTGTTGGCCTTTTACATGTCTCTTTGAAAAAATATCTATTCAGTTCCTTCACTTATTTTTCAATTGGATTGTTTGTTCTTTTGCTATTGAGTTGTATGAGTTTATTTATTTTGACCATTTCTAAGATGTATTTAGAGTACGTTCACATTGTTTGAGGCCATTCATCTCAAGAACTTTCTCATTTTCCCCAATTGAAACTTCGAACCCATTATACAAAAATTCCCTGTTCTTTCCTCCTCTCAGACCCTGACAACTACCATTCTATTTTATGTCCCCATTTTTTTGATTACTCTAAGTATCTCATGTAAGTGGAGTTATACATTTGCCCTTTTGTGACCGGCTTATTTAAATTAGCATATGGTCTTCAAGGTTCATCCATGTTATAGTATATATCAGAATTTCATTTATTTTGAAGGCTGAATAATCTTCCATTGTTTGTAGAGACCATATTTCGCTTCTCTACACATCCCCCAATGGACACATGTGTTGCTTCCACTTTTGGGCTATTGTAAATAATGCTACTATGAATATTGGCATGCAACTATCTGTTTGAGTTCCTACTTTCAATTATTTTGGGTTTATACCCAGAAGTTGAATTGCCAGAACAAGAGGTAATCCTATACTTTTTTGAGGAACTGCCATACTTTTCTACAGTGACTACTGTATTTTTTATATTCCCATCAGCAATGTACAAGGGTTCCAATTTCTCTTGTTTTTTGCCAATATTTGTTGTCTCTGTGTGTGTATGTCCGTGTGTATATGTGTGTGTTTTAAATAATAGCCATTCTACTGAGTTTCATGCACATATTTTGTTAAGTTTTACCTGAGTTTACATTTTCTTACTATTGTAAATGATGTCTTTCTCAACTTCTCTGTTTTAAAAAACCTTTTTTGTTTGAAATAATTTTAGAGTCACAAAAAAGTTGTAAATGGTACACTTTACCAATGTTAGCATCTTACATAACCATACAATAGTTTAAACCAGGAGTGATGTGACCTTCTCAGTGCATGATATCAAGGGTTACCTGATGTCAGTATGTCCTGTTACTGGTGATTTTTAATTTTGATCACTTGATTGAAGTGGTGTCTGCCAAGTTTCTTCATTACAAAGTTATTATTTTCCTCTTCCTACATCCTCTTCCTACATTAATAAGTGTTTTGTGGGGAGATACTTTCAGACTATGCAGACATCTGTTTCTTGTCTTTTCATCCTTGAGTTTTAATATATCCATCAATGGGGAGTTGCGATGTGGTTCGAGATCCTCCCCGGGGTCGCTGTGATGGGCGTGTGCTTGTTCATCCCCGGAGTGGCCACCGCTTTCATCCACAGGTTCTCCAATGGGGCAAGGAAAAAGGATTGCCCATTTTTCCTATCAGTGGAATTTGATGGAAAGAGACAGGCGCATCTCAGGAGTTAACCGTTACTACATGTCAAAGTGTTTGGAGACCATTGATTAAAAGAAACAGTTTCCTGATTGATGAAAAATAACTTATACACATCTAATCCTACTAGAAAATTCTGCACTACGTTAGGTAGCATGGCAAATATATTATGTAGTGCTTAATAAAAATAAAATGGAAAAGTAAAAAAAAAAATATCCATCAATGATTCTTGCCTGCAGCAATTATAACTGTGATGCTTGCCAACTGGTGACTTTCTATTTCCATGCTTCTATATTTGTTAATGCAGAATTCTACAGTCTCAATCAAAAGCACAGCAACTTATTTTCCAGATAGCAACAAACTAATATTCATTAGTTTTTCTGTGGCGTTTTTAGGGGTCTCTCTATGTTATCATATCATCTGCAAATAGTGATAGTTTTACTTCTTATTTCCCTATTTGGAGTCCTTGTATAGCTTTCCCTTGCCTAATTGCTCTAGCTAGGACATTCAGTATTACACTGAAAAGCAGTGGTAAGAGTGGACATCCTTGTTTTGTTCCAGATCTTAAAGGAAAGGCTTTCAGTTTTTCACAATTAAGACTATTAGCTGTGGGTTTGTTATACATGGCTTTTATTATGTTAAGGTGTGTTTCCTTCTATCCCAAGAATTTCTAGGGCCTTCATCATAAATGGATGTTGGACTCCATCAAATGCTTTCTCAGCATCTATTGATATGATCATATATATAGTTTTTACTTTTGTTTTCAACAAACTAATTTTAAAATTCATATGGAAAGGCAAAAGACCTAAGATAGCTAACACAATAGTGAAAAAGAATAGAGCTGGAAGACTCACATTAGCTGATTGTAAAACTTACTGTAAGTTTTAATATGTTACTATAATCAAAATAGCATGGTATCGGCAAAATAATAGCTACATAAAGTCATGGAGCAAAATAGACACATACAAATACAGTCAACTGATCAGAGAAGCTAAAGCAATTAAATCAGGATTGACATTTCAAAACTGGTACTGGAGTAATTTTATGTCCATATGCAAACAGATTAATCTATTGTACATACAACTCTTATACCCTTTATGAAAATTAACTTAAAGTAGATGATAGAACTATATGTAAAACATAAAACTATAAAACTTATACATGAAAACAGAAGAAAATTTAGGTCATTTTGGATCTGCAATGAATGTGCCAAAAGCAAAGATCTATGAAACAAAAAGGTGGTAAGTTGAGTGTTAATACAATTAAAAACTTCTGCTCTGCAAAAAGGCTGCTAAGAGAATAAAAAAACTAGACATGGGCTGGAGAAGATATCTGCAAAACATATATCTGATAAAAGACTGATACCTGAAATATACAAATAATTCAAAACTCAAGGGTAAGAAAATAAACATTCCAATTGAAAAATGAGCAAAACATCTGAAAAGATAATTCACCAAAGAAGATAGACAGATGGCCAAAAAAAGCTTTATATGCAAGATGTTTTGCATTCTTGTCATTAGGGATGGCAATTTAAACAAATGAAAAAAATGAAAGAATGAGGTGACATTGTACACCTATTACGATGAATAAAGTCCAATAAACTGTTCATACCAATTGCTGGCTAGGATGCAGAACAAGAATTCTTATTCATTGCTCGTGGGAGTGCAAAATGGTACAGTTTGGCAGTTTCTTACAAAGATAAACATAGTTTTAGCATATGATCCAGCATTTGTGTTCCTAGGTATTTACCCAACTGATTTGAAAATTATGTCCCTATTAAAACCTGCAAACAAATGTTTATAGCAGCTTTATTCACAATTGCCAAACACTGGAAGCAACCAAGATGCCCTTCAATAGGTCAATGGATAAACAAACTATATACATGGATATAGTAGAATACTATTTAGTAAAAGACCTATTAGGCCATACGAAGACATGAATGGTCCCTAAGTGCATATCACTGAGTGATAGGAGCCATTCTTAACTATTCCAGCTATATGATATTCTGGAAAAGACAAGATATATAGTAAAGACATCAATGGTTGGCAAGCATTGGAGAGGAGAGAGGAAGGTTTACTAGGTGGAGCACAGGAGAATTTTTTAGCACAGTGAAATTCCTGTCTGATAGTCTAATGGTGGATCCATGACCTATGCATTTGTCAAAACATGTAGAATTTTATAGTTCAAAGAGTGAACCCCAACATGTATAAGTTTTTTAAATAACTAAGAGATTGAAAGATCCCAGGATGGAATGCAGACTGTGACAGATGATTGTAACTGTATTACAAATGTATGAAAAAAAATACAAGAATTTTTAATGCAGCTCTTTTATAGTGACTTCTAATTTAATTGCATTGAAATCAGAAGAGAGGTCTATATGATGGCTATTCTTTGAAATTTCTTGAGGTTTGCTTTATTGCCTAGTATGTGGTCAAGATTTGCAAATGCTCCAAGCAGGCGTGAGAAAAATCTGTATTCCTTGTATGGGAACTGCTCTATGTTCTGTATCAGGCAGTTCTGACATCTACAGTCTAAATCTTTTCCTTGTTCCTCTTGACTCAGAATGGCTTGCCTTCTTATGTCTGACAATCTCTGTTTTGGGTTATTTGAAAGTCCTGCAAGCTTAACTTGGAGAAATTTTCCTTCACAGAAGACTTGCTGCTGCTTTTGCTGGTAGCTCAGGGGTGCCCCAACCCAGAACCTCTTCAGTTCTGCTGAGGGTTTTTTTTTTTAAGATTTATTTTTATTTATTTTTATTTATACTGTATTGGGGTGTAGTCAGAGGCACGGGGAGGGGGGGGTGAGAGAATTCACTGGAGACAGAGCGGGGAGCAGAACAGTCAGATGAACCAAAAACACTGCTGAGGGGAGCAGCGGGCAAGACAGGAGAGGTCTGCCATGCCATGTGGGTTTCTCCCTGGCCGCCTGGGAATCGAACCTGCCTTGCAGAGGCTGCAGACAGTGTCACAGTGGAGGCTCTGCTGAGGGTTTTGACTCATAAACGGTTGTAAGTTTAGTTCCCCTTCTGTGCTACTGTTTCAAGGTACCATCCTTAATTGACAGTGTGATCATGCTCCACACAGCCAATGTAGCTAACTTCCCTGTTTGGCTTTGTTCTGCTATATATCACTATCCTTTGGTGCTCCACTGCACCAACCCTAGTTCCCCATTTTTAACCCAGGCTTCCAGTTTCCCACTTTGCCTCAGTTCCTGCTCATTTCCTATCCAGATTTTTTAATTTTTTTTGAAGGAATTGTCCCTAGTAACCTCTGCTACCTTGCAAGGCACAAATGGTGCCTCATTATGTGTGTAAAGTTGTAGGAGAGCTCCTCAGAATTTATTCATGACAATAGATGCATAGTATTGCCTAAAAAATTTAAAAAGTGGGCCTCCCTGGTGGCACAGGGTTAAGTCTTGGCACTATCAAGCTATCGCCAGCTACTGCAGCACGGTCCACATGGCACACGCAGCAGACCTCTCCTGTCTCGCCCGCTGCTCCCCTCAGCAGTGCATTTCAGCAGATCTGCCTGTTCTGTTCCCTACTCTGTCTCTGGTGAATCCTCTTACCTCCCGCTCCTCTGGCCTTCACACCATTTCTTGTATGCATGAATAAATAAAATAAATCTTTTAAAATATAAATAAAACATTAAGAAAGTATTAAATATGCTAAAATTTGGTTGGGTGGGTCAATAGGTAGATCATAATAACACATTATGTTAACTAAGGAACTTCCAAAACAGAACTACAAAGAACATCAAGGTTGCAATCATATTGTTTCAAGTCAGAGGGGCCAGTTTTCTGGTCAGTGACCCCTCTGCTGGTCTCTCATGCCTGGGGGTTTTATCAGCAGAGACTGAGCTGCATCCTTTCTTTAAACAGATGGCAGAGGAAACCAACTCCAAGGCCTCCCAGACTTCTCCCAGGAAGTTGAGTCATGATACATCAAAACGCTCCCATTTCTGGGTGCTGGAAATGCTGTTACAGAGATTGAGCTCCCTAGACACTAAGCAGGATGACAAGTTTGCCCACATCCTGAATGCGGTGGGGGAGTTTGGCACATTCCAGCGGAGGCTGGTGGCCCTCACCTTCATCCCCATCAGCCTATCGGCCTTCTTCAGTTTTGTTGACTACTTCGTGTTCACAGCCCAGAAACCCTATTGCAATACCAGCTGGATACTGGCAGTCGGCCCCAATCTATCAATGGCTGAGCAGCTGAATCTGACTCTGCCCAGAGAACCCAATGGCAGTTTCCTGACGTGTCTCATGTACTTGCCTGTGACCTGGAGTCTAGATTCTATCATCCATTTTGGCCTCAACGATACAGTATCATGCCAAGATGGATGGATTTACCCTTATGCCCAGGAGCGATCCCTGATCAATGAGGTATGTCTTGTCCTGAGTTATCTGTAACTATCCCGTGTGCGCAGAGCTGTGCCCTCATGGAATAGCTGAGGAAACTGAGACTAAGGAGGGGCAGCAATTGGTCTAAGGTCAACCTGCAGGCCTAGGGCCAGGGCCAGGATTCCTGCTGCCCAGCCCTGGCCTCTCACCTCTCTTAGCCAGCTAAGGTGGGTTGGGGTAGGGGTAGGTGTCACATGGCTGGGTTTGCCATCTGTCCAGTGAGTTGCGGCTGCAGTTGTGACTCTGCCCCCTGAACAAATACGGAACTGGGGGATGAGGCAGCTTTGAGCAGGTACCTCTTACAGAGTGTCTGAACTTAAGCTGTAACCTGGGCCCTTCACAGCACAGACCTTCCCCATAGGAATCTCTAAGTAATAAGTTGGGTCCCAGCTTCTGTATTTGGGGAAAGGGTTAGGAACCCTATTCTGCCTCTGTTCATATCCCTCTCCAGTTACACCCCATCTTGGCCTGTGCCTTTCACTTCTCTCTTGTGGCTTACCTCCCAGAGCCTGCCAAGTGCAGGATAGGATGTGGGGTGCAGAGGTAACAGAGCTGAGGCATGCTGTACACACAGTTACCTGCCTATCTGCCTTGCATCCTTTTTACTTAAAGGCCCACCCTGGGGCCAGTTCAGTCTCTGGATCCAGAAGACCGATCTTGGGTGGAGGCCAGTGGCCAATCCCTGTGTCTAACCCTCAGTTTGACTTGGTGTGTGACAAGAAATCGAATTGGGATATCGTGCAGACCATATTCTGGTCAGGGATCCTGATAGGATCTATCATCTTCGGGTTCATAAGTGACAAGTGAGTCTCTTGGATTTCCCTCTTGTCCCAGGGATGCTCCTGCTTCTCCTCATGGGCATTCAGAGCTGTAGAGTCTCGAGCTGGGGGAGGTGAGGGTGGAGGTGCCATGGAGGCCGGTGGAGTAGCTCAGGGCCTGGCCACGGGTGCAGGCCTTGGGCCAGTCAGGGAGGTCCATGTGCTTGGAGCAGCCTCCCTTTGGCGCCCACAGGCTGGGCCGCTACCCTTCCATCCTGCTCTCGCTGCTGGGACTGATCATCTTCGGCTTCGGGACAGCTTTTGTCAGGAGCTTTCACCAGTATCTCTTCTTCCGCTTCGGCGTGTCCCAGGCGGTGATAGGCTACCTCATCAGCAGCGTGTCTTTAGGTGAGACTGTGGGGGCAGGGCTGATGCATGGGAGTGGGGCTGGCACTTGCTGCTCTGTGGCCGAGAGGTTGGGTAGTTGCCACCTTCTCTGGTTGTCTGGAGATGCTAGAGAATCTGTGACCCGACCATCTCCCAGCCTCATTCTCTAGCCTACCTCCTCATATGCCTTGAGTCCCTTCCACCTGTACCCTGCCATTGCTGATACTTATTGAACCCTTAAGAAGGGCCAGGTGAGTGCTAAGCCCTTGTTATGCAGTCTTGTCTCATCCTGAGTGCCTTAGTAGTTAACTGGGGAGGAGTTTGAGCCTCAGGAAGCTAACCAGCTTGCTCTAGGTCACAGGGCAGCTACAGTTAAGTGAAGGAACTGGGTTTTACTCCAGGTCTGTGTGGTGAGAAAGCCCAAGTGCCCATACCCTCATTCTGCCTCACAGCTGCTATTACCTGGTGTACACAGGGTCCCTAACAGGAGACCTCTTCTCACTGGGAGCTTGCCAGAGCCCAGACAGCCAGAAACAGGTCCTCTACAGAGCCCTAGGCTAGGTGGCCAAAGCACGGATGCACTAAGAGCAAAGATAAGGGCACTGATCCCTTGCCTCTCCCGCTGTCGGGCCATACATGTGAGGTACTGTGCCCCACCCAGGCTGTCTCAACGAGCGAGGCCTGTGGTCACGCTGGAGGGGTTCAGAGGGAGTGGCCAGGTTGAGAAGAATGGACTGGAGGTTATTAATGTGATTGGGAGGTCAGGCAAGGGGTCTTGTGTGTGCCCCACCAGGGCACAGAGGTGCCCTGACTATCTCTCGACCTAGGCAGATCATGAGCAGGCAGAAAAACAGCTGCCCAGTCAGAAGGCTGGGTATAAGGGCAGCCCTGGGGCCCTGACCTAACTGTTATTTTGTCTGCTTGGCCTCTGAACAGCCTCTGAGTGGCTGGTGGGCAAGCACCGGGCCCATGCCATCATCCTGGAAAACTGCTTTTTCACTGTGGGGATCATATTCCTGACAGCGCTTGCCTACAGCCTGCCACACTGGCGCCTGCTATTCCTGGTGGGCGGAGCGCCTGTGTTTCCCCTCATCTTCTATATCTGGTGAGCAAACACATACAGGGCGCCCACAGGGGTGGAGTCTGATGAGCTGGAGATTGAGGGGTGTAGAGGGTCCTTGAAGAGATGGGATGTTAGAATTTTTCCTGGGAGAAAGCCCATGTGGATGGGATGAGAAAGAACCAAGGGCAGAGCTTCTGACACGTGGCATTAACTGCCCTCAGAGGAGAACTCAAAAAGATGTCAGAGAGGTGGTCAGAAAACAAGAAGGAAAGGTGTCGAAAGGCAAAAGTTCAAGGACAGTGGAGTGGTCAGAGTTGAAGGCAAGAAAAGGGAGACCGTGGAAGGGTCTTGGCCTTGGTGACCTTGAGGTGGTGTCAGCGCAGGGGCAGGGGGTTGAGGAGTGAGCAGGAGCCAGGAAATCGGAGCCATCCAGGAGCTGACTCTGACAGCGATGGATTGTTGGAAGGGAAAGTGATGACTTCTATGAGCAGCTAAGACAGGGCCAAGGAAGGGTGTCTGCTTTCTTGTTTTGTTTTGTTTTGTTTTGTTTTGTTTTGTTTTGTTTTGTTTTGTTTTGTTTAATGTAGAGGAGTCACAGACAGGAATCTGGGATTGAAGCTATAAAGGGACAACTGATGGAGCAAGAGAAGGAGGGACCAAGAACAGGAACAAAATGGCACTACTAACTGGGCAGGTGGTGAAAGGAGAGGAACAGAAGAGAAGGAACAGATACCTGTGTTAAAGGCTAGGGAGTTTGATGTGTGAGGAAATAATCACGTTTAATCCTGATAACCCATTTACTCTTTACAACGCTGAAAGATAGTGTGGGTCTAATGTTCTGGGGAAGGAGGAGTTGGGGAGTCTCTGTAGAGAGCACGGAAGTGTTGGCATGTCCTAATGTTCCAGGCAGTATCTTTGTGCCCACCTCATGCCCGAGCAGCATGTTCATAGCTGTGGCTGGGCTGGGGCTGACGTGGGTCTCTGGGGCATCTATGAGAGAGAAGGTGGGTCATGCAGGATTCTCCCAGAGTCGCCGCGGTGGCTGATGATGAAGGGGAAGGTGGAGGAGGCCAAGAAGGTGCTGTGCTATGCCGCTTATGTGAACAAGAAGACCATTCCTATAAGTCTGCTGGACAAGGTAAGCGCTTCAGGCCTGGAGTAGGTCTGGCCAGGGGCTGTAGAAAGTTCTCTCCCCCTCCTCCTTTTCAGCCCAGAGGATGTGCCCAACTCGCTGCTTGAGAATGGTGACAGCAAATTTGAACCTTGGGAGGGAAGGCCAGAGGCTGGGCTGGTACTGTGGAGGCCAGGTGGGCTTTGTGGATCCTGTAAATGTGGGGAGCAAACCCAGGTCTCAGTCCTGTCTCTGGCTTGCCCTGTTTGTCCTATAGTTACATATTTCCAGCAAAAATGTGACTGAGGCCTCTGTCCTGGACTTCTGTAGCAATAGTTACCTCCGCAAGGTTGTCTTGGCGATGCTGTGCGTGTGGTGAGTACCCAGGAATGGGGGTGACCCAGTCACGAAGAAAGAGGGGCCTAGGACACACTGGCTGAGGCCACAGACCCAAATCTCTGCTCATTTCTCTCCTCCATTCCCACCTGCCCCTCCCCTTTGCCTCAGTCTTTACTCCCTACCCCTTTCTCTGAGTATCTGTGCGTAGGCCTCTCTGAGTGTCTCTCTCCTGCCTTTGTTCCAGGTTTACTGTTGCTTACAACTACAGTCTGCTGAACTTCCAGAGAAAGGATTTCAGCACCAACATTTACTTCATGATGCTGATCCCCAGCATCATGAATGTGCCCGCCTGGCTGGGCTGCATCTTTCTCCTTGAGCAGATAGGGAGGAAGAAGAGCCTGGTTTTGACTTTCTTCCAAGGCTGTCTCTTGTGCTTGGTTAGCCTTTTCATGTACCCAGGTAAATCTCCTTCAACCCCCTCCTCCTGCTTTTCCTCAAACCAGCCTTCATGCCTCCTGCCCCTGTCAGCAAGACACCCAGGGAGTCAGCCTCCTGACCCAAAGCCCACCCAGCCGGCAGAGGCCCTTGCACCTCCCAAGAGGGCACTAATCACACAGTCCACTTTAGGGGCGTGTCCCAAGACAAGACGAGTGCTCGCACTCCCTCAGAGGCCATGTGAGAAGGCTTGTTACAAAAAAAAAAAAAAAGTCCTTCCACTGTTACACCAGGCCCTGCCTCTCATCTGTAGCATCTGCTTAGGAAATGCCTGTTACCTGTAACTTCATCAGGAAAAAATGGCCTCTGCCTGCCCCCTAAAATTGAGTGTAACATAGGGCTAAGCTCTCAGGAACAGCTCTGGCAGGGAGGCCCTCCTTCCCAGGGGGGCACAGTACCATCACTCTATGGGTTCAGGACAGTGAATATGGCTCTGGTCACAGGGCTAGTGAGTAGCCCTGGGTCTCCCTCACCCCCATTTCTCTGAGGGCTGGAATTATGTGTCTTGACCAGAACTTTCCTCTCCCAGATGTTGGCAGTGTTGACTGGTTGAAACGAAGTGGGGAAACGAATTCATTATTACATTTCTATTGCTTGGTGGGTTTTTTTTTTTTTTTGGGGGGGGGGTTTAAGATTTATTTATTTATTTATACAAGCACTGGGTACAGTCAGAAGCGCGGGAGGGTGAGAGAATCCACCAGAGCCAGAGCGGGGAGCAGAACAGGCAGAACGAGGAAACACACTGCTGAGGGGAGCAGCAGGCAGCAGGAGAGGTCTCCTGCGCCATGTGGGACCCTCGCCCAGCAGCCGGGGATCGAACCTGCACTGCAGAGGCTGCAGGCAGCTTCGCAACCCGGCACTCAACCGCTGTGCCACCAGGGAGGCCCAGGTTTTTTTTTTTTCTTTAAGTGGACCTCTAACAAGTCAAACAAATGTTTAAAATTCTTAAATGTGTGAGCGAAATCAAAAATAGAGTCACTAATAGATAAAACTGAATCTTTGATTTCATGCCAACCCCAAGCAAATCAGGAACCAAAACAGGGCATGGGACTGGGGTAGGGTCCAGCAGAGGCCGATGAATGTGCTGCAAACTCCTGGCTTTGGGTCGGTGAGCAGGGGATCCAGCTCTCTGTCCCCACAGACCTGGATGATGCCTTCCTTATTCCATGTACACCTCCATCTGCCCAGTCAGGCATCCTGGAATGTCTAGCTTCTGCCCTGTCCACCTTACAGAAGATGAAGGGGAAGGCTGGAGGGCCCTGAGCAGGGAGCCCAGCACACAGGACGCAGGCCTGGCACTGAGTGGATGCTCAAGGAGAAGCAGGGGGTAGGGTGGGGGAGCTGCCTCTTCGTGAGAAGGTGGAAGGCAGGAGAGAACCCGGAGGAAGAGGTGTGGGGGCTGGAGAGGCCACAGGGGTCCCAGTGCGACCTCCTCCTACCCCACTGAATAACTCCTACCACGGATGGGCCAAGTCTCAGCCTGGCTGGGTCTCATGCAGACTGCCCCTCCTCTGACTAAATGCTTGAGTCAGCCAACCCATGACCAGGGACTGGACTGTTCAGTTGCCTTCTGAGAGGGGCAGAGGGAGGGCCGAGAGCAGGGGTGGGCCTCCTAGAGAGGAGGTTGGCCCTCCTCACCTCAGAGGGTCACTTTGTTTGGCCATAGAGTGGAAATCCATATTCACCTTGTTGGTCATATTCGGCGAGTTCAGCCTGATAGCCTCATTCGCTGTGCTCTTAGTCTACTCTGTGGAGCTCCTCCCCACCGTCCTCAGGTAAGGGCCTGGTGGGTAAAGGCCCTGGGGACAGGGGAGAGAGAGACAGTCCCAAGATGAGCAAGAGCAGCCTCGAGCTGGACCTTCACCGGTTGACCAGCAGTGTGCTAAGTGGTTCGCAAGGATTACCCATTTAACCCTCACCACCCCAAAATCCCTGGATGCCATCATTAGCCCTATTTCAGACAACGGAATCAGAGTGAGATAGGTAACAGCTCAAGATGAGACAGAGCAAGTGCAGAGTTGGGTTGGGCCTCAGACAGGCGGACTCTGGTCCGCACCTTGCACTCACAGCCTGGAATGGTGTGGGCCTCTCTGAGGCTCGGGCCTTACACCACGGGGCCCCTTGGTTGTCAGCAAAATCCTCCTATCCGCCCAGCTTGGCTGCCCACGTCTTCCCCACACACCACACAGTACAATGTGGGTCTTACTTCTCCCGCCCCTGAGCCCATGGAGTAGGCCCAGAGGAAGTTACTACCTACTTTGAGTCAATGGAGAACTCAATTCTCCAAGGTGGCACAGTAAGTTGGGTGAGGGTGGACACAGGAGGGTTTGGGAGAGCTGTTTCTTCCATCCTGCTCGACCACTTGGGTCTACAAGGTGCCCCAGATGAACTCTCACCTCTCTTCCAGGACTACGGGTCTGGGGCTGGTGACTCTGGTCTCGGCAGCTGGAGTCATCATGTCCTTGATGCTCATCAGTCAGGATGAAAGCTTCCTACCCAGCTTTCTCTGCTGTTTCTCAGCCACCCTGGCCTTGCTGCTCTGCTTCCTGCTGCCGGAAACGCAAAATCAGCCCCTCTTCGATAGCCTCCCCTCTTCGGAGCACTTAACCACAAAGAAAAGGTAGGTGCAAGGTCCCTGGGCTTTGATCAGCACAGGACCGGATTCTTCAGCCTTTGGTACTGAGAGTATGTTGGGAATTGCCCAACCCTGCCTCTTTGCCAGAAGGTCCTGTGACAAGGGGCTGCTCTCTATTCATGACAGTTTCCCCATCTTGTCTAGATGCCAACATCCACCTCTGCCCAGCCTCTGCCAGCTCCTGCTCCACACCTGGCTCTCCTGCCAGGTGGGGCCAGGCCGTCTCCCTCCAGCTGCCTGTCTGGAGTGGGGTGCTCACTCAGAGCTGTCCTCCAGCACACTCTGGAGAGTCCCCTTCCAGGGCACGGGAGGCTGGCTTGGAAGAAGCTCTCTGAGTGCTTCTCCTTTCCTGTCTGAACCCTCGCTCCTCAAAAAGGATCAGTCTTTATTCATGACTCCACAGGAGTTCCTAGCCTCTGGTCTTTTAAGCACCCCTGGAGAAGACTTGTCATGATTGGTAGAACCACCCCTCTGGGATTTGGGTGCACAGAGCCCATCACTCCCCTGGGGCTGAGGGAGCCAAGCACCAGTGATGGGCAGAGGCTGCCTGATGTCTCCAGTGCCCTCTGCTCCTACCCCAGGGGTTGCAGCCTTTAGTCTTCTCCTGCTTCCTTCTCACCATCCTGACTTTCCTTCCCTCCCTCCTCAAGTTCTCACTGATACATCAGCACTAGGCATTGTGCTAGAGCTGGACTATCAGAGGAAAGAGGTCCCTGACCTTAAGCAAGTCATAGTTTATGGGAAACAGATATACAAACTAATGGGCTCTGATAGAGGCATGTGCAGGACCCTTAGGTGCCCCAGGAGGGAGTAATTTTAGTTTGAGCTGTTGGGACAGGTTTCACAGAGGAAGTGATACTTGGATAGGACTTTGAAGGATGAATAGGAGTTTGCCCCATTGTGGAGACAGGGAGTACAATGCAGCAGAATAACAGCACACTAGCTCAGAACACAGAGAGCCAAGGGCCTGGAGTTCTATCTCTACCACTTCCTAGCATGTGTACAGAGAAGTCACCTAATGCTTCTGGAACTGTTTCTTCATTTGCAAAATGGAATGATAGCAGTATACTGACAATAGCAAATACTTATTGAGCATTTATCTCGTGAGGTACTGTTCTATACATGCCTTTTCACACTGAATCCTCACAACCCATGCAAAGTAGATCTTGTCACTATCTCCTATTTTACAGGTTAAAAAAAATGGGGGCACAGAGAGGTAGAGCCAGGAAGCCTAGCCTTCTTTCCTCATAGGGCCTTGGGGAGGATTAAGCCCACAAAAACCAGGGGGCACACTATCTGACATGGCGCAAATGCTCAATGAATACCTGTGAGGAAGATGGTGGGCAGAACTTCAAAGATGTAGAACTAGGGCCAGGAGAGAGGAGGGCCTGGCTAGGAGATGGAACAAAATCGGTCCTGGAGGCCAAGGTTACTCCCAGGCATGTGGTGAAGCTTGGGTGGGGACCTGCAGGCATGGGGCAGCCCACCTCTCAGGAATGCTGAGCCCAGCATGGCTGTAGCTGCCTCAGAGTTGCTGCTCTACTCAGCTCCCCCCAAAAATGCAGCTCATTATTTGTTCTCTAATGGCTTCTAAGGCCTCCGTCCCTGGAGAAGACCGATGACGTCACAGATGGTTATATCACTAAAGAAACGGCCACGAACACCATTCTCAATGCCACAAAGGAGAATTTCAACTCAGACTCTTTCTCCAGCACGAGGCATACCTACGAGGACATAGACTCATAGGCAGAGGAGGAAGCTGTCTGAGGGCAGGCCCTAGATGATCTCGGATTGGAGTTAAGTGGCTGGGTGGGGCCATGGATTCCAGGCCATGAATGCCAGGCCTAGTCCAGCTTGGGGAACAGTGCCAATCCTGCTCTGAGGCCAGCCTTCGAGATCCAAAACTTACCCCTTCTTGGGGAGTGAGGGTGTGTTTCATTCTAATAAAGGTAACATGTTGGACTTGAGATGGCTAGGTCAAAACTGGCTGTGTCTGGACAACCCAGAGGCTCAGACATGGAGGATGGTGGGTCACACCAGCTCCCCAGCATCCTTGGTGTCCTTAGGTAACCCTGGTGGGCAGCAAGGAGTTCTCTGGATGGGGTGTTGAGGGTGGGGCACATCTGTGAGGGCCAGCAGTGGGCAAGCACATGAGGCCGCCATGCCACCCACATCCTCTGGTCCAGGCATTTGGCCATGTGGGTGGGGACTTCCAGCTCAAGCTTCCAAGCTGCACTGTGTGCACCTATCAAGGAAGGCATGGAATGTAAAGGAATGGTGAGAACTTGGCCTATTTGTACCATTGCACAAGACTTGCTCACTCTGTTTTTCCTTGGGGATAACCATCTCAGCCCTATCCTGGGGAATACCTTCCCTGATGATTCCAGTCTGGCTGACCTCTGACCCCCACTGCCCTGAGGTTAAGCCTTTGCATTCCAGTTCTTTATCAGCACTGCCCTGAGGGTCAGCGTGCCCTTTCCAGCCAGCCCCAGGTGAGATTCTGCATTTATTAGCCAGACCCAGAAGCCTGTGGGTGAAGCCCTGGGTTCTACCTCCTCTTTCCCTGGGAGGGGAGCTCCAGAGGGCAGGGCCTGGCTCTCCTTTCTCGCTCATCAACTTGTGGGGAAGCAGGGAGGCGCTCTGGTTTAACTCCCAGAGCTTCTGAGATTAGGACTGAAAGGAATATCTGTTCTCCTGGAGTGCAGGTCAGCAAGGCCCCAGGGCTCCTGGCCAGGTTGATGTTCAGTGAAGCTGAGCGTGACAGCACACTGCTTTAGGCACGTGCTCCCGCTTTGGGACAGCAGGACACTGGTGGCAACTCCTTCCCTTTTCAGTATCATATCTGGTTGCCTCGTTTTATACCAAGTTCCCAGGATTGTCTGGGCATCTCAGGAACCCCAAAGTGGGCTTCAAAAGGCTCAGAAAAAGGAGAAAGATGGAATGCTTTAAAGGCTTCCCAAGCTCCTTGGGGAAAGCCTGTGTGCCGTAACGGCCAACTTATTAACTATGCTCAGACACCTCACCTCCAATAATTTTGCTGGAACTCTGTAAGGTCTTGGCAGAAGCAAACAGTAGGCAGATTTTTTTTTTAAGATTTATTTATTTATTTATACAAGCACTGGGTACAGTCAGAAGCACGGGAGGGTGAGAGAATTCACCAGAGCCAGAGCGGGGAGCAGAGCAGGCAGAAGGACCGAAGTACACTGCTGAGGGGAGCAGCGGGCGGCAGGAGAGGTCTGCGCGCCATGTGGGACCCTCCCAGGTGGCCAGGGATCGAACTGGCGCTGCAGAGGCTGTGGGCAGCTTCGCAACCCAGCGCTCAACTGCTGCGCCACCAGGGGAGGCCCAGTAGGCAGATTCATAAAGATGTTGCCACGATAGCACAAGACTCACAGGGCTTTTTAAGGAAGGTGAATCTCACTGAAAATAGACATCAGCAAAAACTCTTGGGCACATGAGGAAATAAAATGGCTTAAAAACAGAAACGATAAAGGAGGCTGTACCATTAATTTACAATCTGGTGGTGACATAGCTTTTTGAAAAGGATTTTACCTTTCTTTAACATGTACAAAAACAAAGCAATGTTTTGTACACTGGAAAATGACACCCATAAACCCTAGAAATGAACACTAACACAATTGAAGTAAGAAAACACAATAGAGAAAATTAGAATACATACGACTGAAGAAAAAGTGAGTTGTTGAGTATTATAGGTGGTTTCTTTTAGCATTAAATATCACCCCTCTATTAATGCTTTTTGTCATACATTCTATTTTGTCTGAAATTATTTTTACTTCAATCTACAAAACTTTAAATTGAATAACCTACAGAGAAATTCAGGAGTCAGTTAGTATAATGTCTTATGAATTGTCACAAAGCACATAGTATCCATCATCCATATCAAGGAGGGAAATGTAGCATCCTAAGCCCCCTCCTGCCTCTTCCAAATGCCCTTTCCTTTCCTCCAAGGTGGCTGCTGACTCTATGACACAAACATGGAAAAGTCACCAACAGTTTCTAAATCCCAATCCCACAGATAATTGTTAATAACTTGTATATCTTTCCAGAACTTTCATGTATACAGAATTACTGGGCTAAATTATCTGTCTCAAATGCTCAAAGAGTGGGGGAGACACAGATCCCATGGGACAAGTTCAAAGCAGAAGATACCCAGAGCAACATTTAATTTTCCTAAATCATATGTGCCTTTGAGGTAAATACAAATATAAATAGAGCACTTTAGTGAAAATAAGCACTTTTCTCCACAGAGCTCTTCAGAATCTGTCTCCTTAAACTTCAAAGTCCGTCAGACTTTTCTTCAGACATAAATACGAAATCAGCTAATAAATCTTAACCTCAGAGGTATCAGTTACTTATTTAACCAGAGGCAGGACTCACCCCTCACCCTAGAACCTGGATCAACAAATCTGCGTGACGTTGGCTCTGCTAGGGGTTATAGTTCAAAACATTTATTTTCACACATAACAGTTTCCCACTGAAACTGCAAAGACTTTGTACCACCGTTGAGATGGAAAAGAGAAAAAAATTATTTAATTTTTAACATATCCCAAGACAAACTCATATTAAATTGCAGACAGATGTAATGTAGTGTAACTGAATTATAATTGTCTATTTCATAACCCAGTTTCTGATTATTTTTGATACAGCGATTTTTATCTTTGTCTTAGACTTGGAAAGTGTAGGAATTAAAGCTACCAATATACCCCTAACTTTTCAGTCTTTAATCATTTTGGAAAATCTACTTAAGCCTGATGATCTTAATGTTAACAAGCAACTAAAGAACACAGCTTGAGGTTGAGTGGCATAAAAATAACTAGTCAGCTATTTTTACACAAAGAATATAACACTGAAATTTTAAAACAATGGATCTTTATGAAGAAAGCAAAATTCCTTCAGAGAGTTACAAAAAAAAGGTTTACCTTGAGAAAAACGTGTTTACTTCAAGAAAAATCTATGTTGTGCCAATCAACTTCAAAGAGGTATTCTGTAGTTGTCTCATTGGAAATCAAATTTGAATTTGTTTGTCTTGGTTTCCCTATTTCACAATGAGTTTTCATTATTGTACTTGCTAAACAAAAAGTTTTTTCTCTCTGAAAAGCTTATCTCTAGTGCTGACCCTTCAGTGGATGTCTGTGTTAGTATGTAATTTATTCAGCGGCCAAACACCTAGCTATAAATACCTTTATAAATACCTTTATTATTTTTTTTAATAGAGGCATGTTTTATTTATTTATTTATTTGTTTGTTTGTTTGTTTATACATGCACTGGGTACAGTCAGAAGCGCGGGAGGGTGAGAGAATTCACCAGAGCCAGAGCGGGGAGCAGAGCAGGCAGAAGGACCGAAGCACACTGCTGAGGGGAGCAGCGGGCGGCAGGAGAGGTCTGCGTGCCATGTGGGACCCTCCTCTGGTGGCCGGGGAGCAGCCGGGGATTGAACCGGCGCTGCAGAGGCTGAGGGCAGCTTCGCAACCCAGCGCTCAACCGCTGCGCCACCGGGGAGGCCCTATAAATACCTTTATATCTAGGTGTTTGCTTCAAAAATCAAAGACCTTGCTAATTGAAGAAAATACAGGTTAATATCTTTGAAGAAAATGTCAGATGATAGCTTTGTGATCTGGAAGTGGAAAAATAGTTCTTAAACATGATCAAATAGCCTAGACAAGGAAGTGAAAAATTGATGGATTTTATTATCTTCAAGTTATTAAAGATTTCCAGTCATAAAAGGGTAAGATGAGATGACAAATTTAGCAGATAAATGACATTTTGGAGGGAGATATTTGCAGTATCTAAAACCGACTGGCAACTTACTGCTTGAAATATAAGAAACTCCTGCCAATCCACAAGAAAAAGACAAAAATTCCCAATTGAAAAATGGGCATAGGTTATAAGCAGAAAATTCATTGAATGGGAAATCCTAATGAGTATAATATGAAGAGAAGCTCAAATTCACTAGGAATGATAGAAGCACAAATTCAAATAACAACGAGAAATCACTTCTTACCTATTAGACTGGCAAAAATGGGCAAGACAGAAATGCAGGATCTGAGGAGAGTCCCTTGGGTTGAGGGGGTTGTAGACTGGAGCAGCCATCCTCAGGACTATCCAGGACTCTGATCAAATTCCTCATGCACACATCCCATATCCAAGAGTAGATACAAAACCCAGGAAAGGGGAGGCGAGCCCAGTGTAAGCGGTGGAGGGACATGGGCACTCTGGTGGCGCATGTGGCGTGGTGACACACATCTGAGGAGGTGTGAGCCTACACCTCAGTCACACACTGTGCTGTAAACCAAAGCTACCTCAATAAATACCCTCTTCCCCCCACCAAAATTCCCGCACACAGGTCCACAGGACCATCGAAAGGGCAGTTCATGCAGTACTCTGCTCTGGAAGGGACCTGAGATCCACTACGGGGTCTCTCCTGAGGAGCCCACACAGTAAAACCTGGGGCCAGCACACCACTAAATATGATGGGGACAGAACAACTGACCAAAGCAGGGTTTCTCAAATGTTCTCATTTCACAGCACCCTTAGAATCTCAACATCTTTTTTTGTGGTGCTCCCAGGCCCAAGGAAATGCTAACGCTTTTGTTTATTTAGTAGCTAGGTGCAAGCAACTTAATATACATTCATGTCCAAAAACTTAGTAGCTGTAGAAAATAATACACATAAATTAGAAGGGGAAATAATTTTGTTGCATTCTTAAATATCCAGGATGACTGACTGAGAGGACGTGTGTGCCTATCAGCTACTGCACAATTTCTCCAATGTTAGGATCAGACTGAGCACAGTGCCTGATTTTCTGCTTCACCTTGACTTTCCTGCAGTGCTTGCTGATCACCACGGCTGCTGAAAACTCAGCTTTGCCAAAGCATGATGTTATGTCACAGAAAAGGCTGTAGCACGATCTAATGTTGGAACTGTGAACTGCTTCAAGCTGACAGTTCACGTGGCCCCTGACAATATTGTGTCTTTTTGCATTTCCCTAGAACAAAGTGGGGTGGGGGCACAAGGGACAATGGTGGTAGACTGCGGGCACTGTGGTCACAGCACCTGACAAGGGCGAAGAGGATCCTACACTTTCAAAACACAAATGACATTGTAAACCAATAATAACTGACAAAGGGAAAAAAAAAAAAATCCCACAGCACTCTATGGTTCCTGGCAGATTCCCAGAGCACTTAGGACACAAGTTTGGGAATCACAGAATTAGATTTACTTATAGCAACATGAATAAAGCATTAAAAACAGGGCTGACTTAAAATAATTCTAACTTAAAAACCTAGACCTATGTGGCTCCACCGAGTCTGCTCTTGCTGAGAGTTCAGTGGCCTGCCTCCCTCCGGGCAGCATTGGACTCCACCGCCTCGGAAGGCTCTTCCACTGGCTTCCAACACACTCCTCTCTCAAAGTCTCTTGCTGTGTCTTTGAGTTGTCGTTTGCAGTCCCCTCTGGGGTCTCCATCTGTCCCACCTTGTGTCCTTTCTGCATAATCCAGCGCACTCCCCTCAGGAGATGATAACTCCCGAATCACTGTCTTCAGCCCAAACCGCTTTGCTGAGCAGGAGGCCAGAGATCCACTGCCTGCTCAGCATCTCCACACAGATGGCCCCCAGACCCCCAAAACTGCCATGTCCTGATGACACTCTCTTCCCCCAAGTCTGCTTCTTCTTTCCTGTTTCCCACTGGGAGGCTGGAATCACCTCCCTCTGGTGGTTGGCTGAGGTAGATGGCATGGCTGGCCTCAATTCCACACCTCTTCCCACATCCACACCCTGGTGAGGGCCTCAACCACCATTTGACGTGGGGCTGGCCACAAGCCTTTGCGCAGTGGCATGGAGGCGGCAGTGAAGGATGCTGGGCCCTACTCTGGACCTTCAGAGGCCTCACATGGGTGCCCTCGCCTGCTTCCGCTCTGCTGGCTTCCACCAGGAGAACATGTCTGGCTACTCTGCTGGTCCCAGGAAGAGAAGGATGAGACCTGGGGTATGGGGTCACTCTATCTAAGCCTAGCCTAAGTCAGCTGACCCCGCTGACTTGCCACAGGAGGGACAATAAGAATAATGTTTTAAGATACTATACTATGTCTGGGGGTGTTTTGTCATGCACCGACAGTTAACCAAGCAGGTCCCTTAAACCAGAACCCAGGCATTTCCTTGACTCCTCCCTCTCTCAGTCCCCAGGAATTCCTAAATACCTCTGGCACCTACCCCCTTCCATCTTCAGCACCTCTATCCCAGTCCAGGTCGCCTGTAGCCACATTCTACCCAACCCCCTTCCTCTTCTTCGCCCTGTTTTCCCAGGGCATCCTGAGTGAGCTTCTAATACACAAATCTCCTCACTTGACTTCTCTGTGGGTTGGTGTCCCCCTTGGGCCGGATACCAGGTAGGGCTGGATATGGGGAAGGAGCCCCGGCTGGGGACTGTGGATGTACGGTCACTGTGAGGGGACAAGCTCTAGGGCAGTGCTGCTTTGCTCCCAAGCCCGAGAAAGGAACTTTTAACACGTTCTGTGCAGGAGCTCAAGTTCAAGTTCACAGTATGATAAGCAAAGGACCAGCCTCAGGTGAGAGCAGCACTTTCCATGCAGTCCCTCTACTACTGAGTGAGCCTATCAGGGAGCCAACAGGGCAACAAGGAGGACATGAGCAGCATCAGTAATTTGGGATTAAGATTTGTCTTCATTCCTTGGTGGTGGATCAGATGGTGGTGTGCAGTCTCCTTGCAAAGGCAAATGGGCTCTCAGACTATCAGCCATCCCGTGGCCACCGTGGCAGGGCTGTCACATGAGAAAGGATGTTCATCAGCTGGGGTAGGTGCTTCAGGCCCTGGAAAAAGGCAGCCCTAACCACAAAACCTTCCTGTGAGATGGCTTCATAAAGAAAGAGCCAGCAACCTTGGCCAGAGGAGGATTTGTATTTTGCCTCAGGCCTTCTCACAAGGCTGCCCAGCAAACAGCCTTGTTAAGTGGCTAAACATGTTGAGTTCCTGAGCCAAACTTACTGGCTTTGGGCCCAATTCTGCTATTGATCTTGGGACTTTGGGTCAAGAGGAGGATCTGGGTTCAGCAAGAGAGAGCAACAGGTAACCAGACCATTGCAAAAGTGTAAGGGGTGCTCTGCTGGCCTGGGAAGCTTTTGGAAGGAGTATTTCACCTGGATGGGCATTAGGGAGGGCTTCTGGGGAAAAGTTCTAGGGACAAGACCAGGTCAATAATAAGAAGAAAGGTGTCCTCGCCCCAGGAAGAAAGGGAGTGGGTCTGGTTTTGGTTTTCATACCCCCTTCACCACGTCTGGCACCCAACAGACCACCCAGGAGCATGGACACAGCACAGGAGCATGCGCCCTTCTGTGAGGGCCTCAGGTGCCTTGATTTTAAACGCAGAGGTGGGCTATGGCATTCATCCAGACCTGGGGGTCCACTCGGATTTACTGGGTCAGAACAAGGCCTGCCTGAGCCCCGTACCTGCACCCCCAAGGCACATTGCTCTGTGACACCTGCGTCACCACATGGGTGGACAACTGTTCCAGCACCGGAGAGACCATGGAGGTCTCCAGGCTCAGGGCCACAGCAGACCCAGGCCGGGACAAGCCGGCTTAAAGTTGAAACCTCCGGGCAAAGGAATCCTGGCCATCTCGGGGCAAGACCTGCGCGGAGCGCACATCTGGACAGGGAGGGGCGTTGGGAGGGGGACACCCCTCCAAGGCACAGGTGCTAAGCCTGAGGTCCCCGCCGGACGCGCGATCTCCCGCGGTGGCCCAGCAGGCGGCGCCGGGGCGCACGCCCGTCCGCGCCTCGGGTCCGGGCGTCCGCCGGGCGGGGCGCGGGGCGAGGGGCGGGCCCGGCGTCCTGCGCGCTGGAGCGCGGCGGCTGTCACGCCGCGGCCAGACGGACGAGAGCGCCGCCAGACTGTCGGGGGCCATGGCCGCGCGCGCCGCTCGCCGCTGCTGTCTGGGCTGGGACTTCAGCACGCAGCAGGTACCGCAGCGGGCCCCGGTTCCGGGCGGGGTCGGGGCTGCCTTCCCCGCGACGCCGGGGGCGCTGGCGGGGCCCGGGCGGGGAACCCGGGGCCCGGGCGCGGGCGCGTCTCCCGGCCCTGCTGTCGCGGGACTCCCGGCCCGGGGCTCCCGCCCGCGAGAGGCGAGCGCGCCCCGCCCTCCCGGAAACCAGCGGGGCTCCCCGCCGCGGCAAAGTGGCCGGAGGGGCCGGGGGAACCCACGCTCGCGCGCCACCGCGGGCCCCCGGTGACGGTGACCCCGGGGAGCTCAGCTGCAGTAGGCAGCGGAGACAGACGGGTAGGCGTGCACGCAGGCGTGGCCAGTGACCTGGACCCGCATTGTCACCTGAAGCTTTTTTAAAATTAAGTTTAATGGGCACAGGGTACACTTGAACTTTGTTCCACCTGGTGACAGTCCTTGGTTTGCACCGGAGGGCTCGGTTCTGTGGGCCGGGTCACCTGCCAGCACTGCAGGCTGCAGTATGAGTATGCTGCTTCCCACCCCTGCAGACAGGGCAGCAGCCAAGCTTTGCTTTCAGACTGGGGGGCTGGGTGGGTGGGTGGGGTGCCAAGGAGTGCCTCCTTAACTTAGGAAATCAGCAGAGTTGGAGTCAGACCCCTCTCCTCCAGTGGGTCAAGGGAAGCAGGCCTCGGACAATCCCTGACCCAGATGCCCGGTGGAACTCTGAGCAAGTCAGGTTGTCCTTTCAGACCTCAGTTTCCCTATATGTCCAAGAAAGCAGTTGTACCTCTGAGAGTGGAGGTCAGCTCCACTGGGGCGGGATGTGTCTCTGGACCATGGTGGTGGCCTATGGCAACAGCCCACAGACCTTGCGTGGTCTCTTAGATCCCTGCAGAGGTGGCCCCCAGACTGCTCCAAGTCATGACTTTTGTTCTCCCTTCTATGACTTTCTCAGGCCTCCTAGCCGAACACAGGAACCAGCTCATCTGTGAACATTTACCTCCAGAGGGTCTTGGCTTTGTCTATTTGGGGAGAAGGGATGGAACCCAATGATATTTTGAGTTTCATGGGGTTTTCCTATTTAGGCTCAGCCTTTTCAGTTTACTGAATCTTTGGGTGTGTCCTCAGATGAGGCCTTTGCTGCCATGGTTACAGTGGTGCACCCCAGCCTTTAGGGTCCCTAGGCTGAACCATTTCTAGAGTGCTGGGCTTCACCTAGTTAGTCCCTCAGACCAGTGTAGAAGCTGAGGAAATTTCTATACACCATTTTACAAAATGTTTTCCAGGTGAAAGTTGTTGCTGTTGATGCAGAGCTGAATGTTTTCTATGAGGACAGTGTGCATTTTGACAGAGACCTTCAAGAGTTTGGGTATGTACCTACAGCACATGGGTGAATGTGTATGGGGATGTTGGTTTGAGGGCCGTCCCTCAAACGTCAACATTTGTGGACCACACTGTCTTGACTTCATCAAGTTGCAGGAGAAGTGGTCTTGGCAGAGCTTCTTTTTTTTTTTTTTTAAAGATTTATTTATATATGCATATAAGAGCTGGGGTACAGGCCAGAGATGCGGAGGTGAGAGGATTCACCAGAGACAGAGTGGGGAATAGAACAGGTAGATTGACCGAAGTACAGTGCTGAGGGGAGCAGTGGGCGAGCCAGGAAAGGCCTGCTGCGCCATGTGGATTGCTTCCTGGCCGGCCGGGGATCGAACTCCTTTTGCAGAGGCTGCGTATTGCTTCATAGTGCGGTGCTTAACCCCTTGCGCCACCAGGGAGGCCTCTCAGCTTCTTTTTTGTATCCTGGAATGCTCTCTCATCCTTGCCTTCCCAATTTCATTCATTCATTCTGTGCACTGAGGCTTATTTTGTACCAAGCACTGTGCTGGGCACTAGGATTTGATGGTGAACCAAAAACAGACATGGTCTTTGTTGGTTGAGGGAGATGGATACCAATCAAAGAATCTCATCAAAGAGAATTTGGATATAAACTCAGAGAAGGTCATTAAAGGAAAGGAACTCACTCCTCCAAGTGCTTCTTATAATGGAATGTGACCTGGACTTAGATGGGAGAGTCAGGCAGAGGCCCTGATGAAGTAGTGTTTAAGCAAGTTCTATGTGAATGGGATTAGCCAGATGATGGAAGTGAGAGAGCATTATAAACAAAAGGAACAGCATATGCAAAGGCCCTGTGGCAAGCAAGAGAGCTATTCATTTGTGAAATTAAAGAAGGCCTATATGACTGGGGAGTAGAGAAGGAGGTAGAGTCTGGGCTGGGCCATATAGGCTTTGGTACAGAATTTGTCTTTATCCTAAAAACTTTGATCTACTATTGAAGGTCCTTAAAGGCTGAGGATGAGGTATACATGGTTTTATTTAGGTTTGAAAAATTTCTCTGGGTGCAATGGGAGAGCGCATGGTTGTGTGGGTGGCCATAGTGCACTTTGGGAGCCCACTGAGGAGGTTTCTCTAGGTCATCTGGATGTGAAATGGTAGTGTTTTGTAGGAGAGAGAGCTGGATGGTAAAACTGACAAGTCTTGTTGCAGAATTAAACATGAGATGTGAATGTGGGGTCTCTGACTGACCTTTGGGATGGATAGTAGACTGTGGAAAAGAGTTGGCTTAGGGGAGAAAGATTGTGAGTTTGCTGTTGTATTTGCTTGGCAGGACTGTCAGAACAAAGTACCACGTACTGGGGGGTTTTAACAACGGAAATGTATTTTCTCAATACTCTGGAGTCTGGAAATCCCAGATCATGATGTGGCAGGGCTGGTTTCTTTTGAGGCCTCGCTCCTTGATGGCTGCCTTTTCACTGCCTCTCATGAGTGCACTCATCCCTGTGACCCTCAGTCTGTGTCCTAATCTCCTTTTCTTATAGTATTTCTTATATTATCATTAGCAATGTATGAAGGCTCATGTTCATGGCCTCATTGTAACCTAATCACCTCTCTAAAGATCCCATCGCCAAATACAATCACATTCTGAGGTACTGGCAACTACTGGTATGTTTTCCGTCACTCTAGGTCTGCTTGCAGACCTAGAATTTTATGTAGAATTTTATATAATGGGGTCATAATAATATATACTCTTTCTATCTGACTTTTTAAAAGCAGCACTATCATTTGGAGGGCCACCCATGTTGTTACATGCATCAATAGTCTGTTCTTTTTATTGCTGACTAGTATTTCATTGTTTGAATGGGATGGTCACAATTGGTTTTTCCTTTCACCGGATGAGGGACATCTGGGTTGTTTTTGTTTTTTCATTATTAAAAATAAAGAGACTATACAATTCACATACATGTATTGGTGTAGGTATATGCTCTCGTTTCTCTTGGAAAGGAGATACCCAGGAATGTAATAGCTAAGTTGTATGAGCTTATGAGTCCATAATACCTTATTTTATTTATTTATTTATTTATTTTTAAAGATGGGGGGGAAATATTTATTTATTTATTTTATACAAGAACTGGGGTACAGGCCAAATGTGCAGGAGGGTAAGAGGATTCACTGGAGACCGAGTGGGAAGCAGAACAGGCAGACTGATGAAACACACTGCTGAGGGGAGCAGTGGGCAAGACAGGAGAGGTCTGCCACACCATGTGGGACCCTCGCTGGCCCACAGGATGGAACCGGCGCTGCAGAGGCTGCGGACAGCTTCACAGTGCTGCGGTCAACCGCCTGCGCCACAAGGGGAGGCCCCATAATTCATTATTTTAATGATTCCAAACTTTATGTTTTAATATCTGGGGTTATTGGTCTCCTCATTGTTCCTTCTTCTTCATAGTTCTCATGGCTATTCTTTCTTGTTCTTTTTAAATGTACTTTGGAATCAGCTTTTAAGGTTCCAGAGAATAAAATTGTTAATATTTTTATTGGGATTATATAATATTTATAAATTAACTTGGGAAAAGTTGACAAATTTGTGAGATTGAGTCTTTCTGTCTGAGCATATGTTGTGTGTTTCTATTTGTTTAAGTATGCTTTTGAGTGGTTTAATATGTTTGACATATGGATTTTGCACACTGTGGTATATTGTACAGTCTACTCCCCTCCCTGTACCATGCCTTTTGCATCATGAACTTTGCAACTCTTTCCTTCAAGAGGAATTTATGTGGAATTTATTAGGAATTTATTCCCCAAGCTGCTGATTTTAGTCAACAGAACATGGTGGGGAATAACAGAGCACAGTTCAGAGGCCCTGCAAGCTTCTGCTGTGATTCTTGGAATGCTGCCTAGCCACCTGACGAACAGACAGGTTAGCTGTTGGACAACTAGAGACATGGGGAATTACATTCCCCCATATCTCCAGCTTAAAGAGGCAGAAGCCAGCCCCCAGAAGCAGAGCCTTCCAGCTACTGTTCGCTAACTACGTGGCATGAGTGAGCCCACTAAGACCAGAATCGCCACTGCACAAGGCCCAGTGACTGACTGGTAACCGACCCTCCGAGTTGTGAGCTAAGTGCTATGAACATCTATGCACAAATCTTTCTATGGACTTACTCTTTCACTTCTTTTGGCTAGATTCTTCAAATGAGAATGGCAGGATTACATGGTTGTCTAATAGTATCTTGGTTTGTTTTCTGAATCAGGTTTTTTGATTTTTAATCTCATAGTGGAAAGGGTTGGATTTTATTAAATCAGCTGTTTGCATGAGGAGAGGGTTCTGGGCTTGCAATCCTAGGACTCCACATCAGTTGTAATGGCCAAGGACTTTTCTCGCAGCACCTCTATGTAACCTACCTCCTCTATCTCCCCCAAACCAATGAATATGGTGGGGCTATAATCCACCCACACTTGCCTTGGCCCATCTTGGCTGTCACACCAAGCATCACCATGCCTGCCTTCCAGGGGAGCCCCTCAGATTGAGAGGCTTGGTTTTGCTGGTGCTTTGTGAGCATTGCCACAGGGGTGATCTGGCATGTCTTCTCTCTTCCTCTTGCCCAGCGCCGGTGCCTGTTTAATCTAGAGCTCCCATTCAAGTTTGGGCGAGGGATGTTTCTCCTTCTGTTGGTGTATCAGAATCTGGCCTCTGGCTCCTGTCTGAGCCCTGCCCCATATTCTCCTTTATTCTCCATGTAGGACTCAGGGCGGAGTTCATGTTCACAAGGATGGGCTGACCGTGACTTCTCCAGTCTTGATGTGGGTCCAGGTAAACACGGGCACCCCTGCGCATCTCTTGCCCAGCCCACTGGCGACTTGCTAGGAAGACCAAAGGTGACAACTCATGAGAGCATCTGTTGAGACGAGTTCCTTGTGGTTCCTGGGCCCAACCTCAGTCCCAGCTGTGTCAGTACTCCCACGCTGAGAGGACTCCAAAAGGTTTCTAGATTCCGAGGCCATAGCAGCTCCTGTCAGTTACCATCTTTATTAGCACCACATTCTAACCAGCTGAGCTAGCCGGCCGAGCAGCTGCCATCCTTGAAATACTGCAGAGCCAATCTTTCTGCAGAGTGCCCTGAGATCTACTCTCTGGGTCTTAGTACTCAACCCCCAGGTGCCCTCAGCTTCTGGGGTCTGATGACTTGACCAGTCAGGCTCAGAGCCACCCCAAGGCAGCCTGCCTGCTCAGGACAATGTGAAAGGAAATGCCATGGGGTGTGGACAGCTCAGGCTCAATAGTGCAGGGGGCTGCCTCCTACACCACAGGGATCCAACCCCTGAAACTGGAGGGCAGCCAAAGGCAGCATTTAATGTGTCCACCAAATGCGTGTTTAGTCCTTTGAAGCTTCTTTAACCAATTCCCTGTATTGAGCCCTTTCTGTTAAGATAAACAGTGTGATTTTTAAAATCAGTCTGACTCTGACTCAGACTGAAGAAATGGGGTGAAGTATGGACTTCCACCATACAGGCTTCAGAGTGCTGAGCCAGACCAAGGGGCGGTGGTAGTGGTGATAGGCAAGAGTCAGTGTTTAGAGGGCCCAGTAGTATTGTCAGCGCTTCTAGCAGGCCCAGGCCTTAACTTTGGGAGGTGACCAAGCAGGTAGGGAACCAGGCTGGGGCCAGGCTGATTTCTAATCCTGAATAGGCCTGGACCTATTCTAGCTTTGCCAACCCCTGTTCCAGGTGTGTCCGACTCCCTGGCAGCAGGGCCAGACCTGTGAGAGGCGCTCCCCCAGCATAGGCTGGGAATGGCGGTGTCAGGACAAAGCCCTGTGGCTTCTCTGTTCTCAGGGAAAACACCAGGGGTAAAGCTCTCTCCCACTGGGAAGTCTGAGAGGAAGTGGCCAGCTCTACTGGGCAGCACAGCCCATCTCACTAATGGGTGTTGGAAGGAAGAGTCCAACTAATGGGAGAATGAGGGGTTGGGACCAATGGCCACCATCTCTGTCTATCCCTCCAGCCTTGCCGTCCTGGACAGACGTCCCAGCCCAGAGCCATGTACCGAGGGCAGCGCTCTGCCTGCTCTTCTCTGTCACTGATAAGCTGGGTTGAAATGCCAATAAAAGAAATCAAATATGAACCACCTCGTTTCTGCTCTTCCTGAATGCTTGCAAGTCATGGATTAGGATTTGAGGATTGGTGATGCTTCCCTTAATGAGAATATTTTTAGCATAGTTCACCTTATTATTCGATCGAAAACTATCCCCTTCATTAGTATACTCCAGTGCTTCCAAGTCCCAAGTCCACAGTTCCTCCCTCATCATTAGCCCAGAGCCCCCTGCTGCTATGCAGGCTCTGAGTTTTCCCTTTGAGGCCTGTGTGTGCCTCATTCAGTGGTTCCGGACAGCCATGGTGGATTCTGTTTTTCTTCTCAGGCTTTGGATATCATCTTGGAGAAGATGAAGGCTTCAGGCTTCGACTTCTCTCAAGTCCTTGCCTTGTCTGGGGCAGGCCAGGTTTGTTGCTCAGCATCTGTCTACACAGTGGGTGACTGTCCATAGAAGAACTGGGGTGTAGGCCAGAGGTGTGACGGGTGAGAGGATTCACCCCCACTGAAGTCTGGATCTTTTCCTAATAATCACGTCTACTTCTCCCCATCTCTACCTCCAGCTGCTTAGATGCTCCTCCTCTGTGTTCCCCATAGCCCTGTCACTGCCCTCCTCCGGGTCCTGTAATTGTGCTATGTGTCTCTTCCCCTGACTCCACTCCAATATGCTGCAGCACAGAGACAACACTCTCCTGTTATCTATCCTGTGCCTGGTGTGGAAGAGGTGCTCAATAAATACTTGTTGCACGAATGAATGAATTCCGGGTTACTATTATGAGCAATATATTTAAATACAATTTTATAAAAGCACTAAAATCCAGACCAATAATTCTTTCTTGGACCCTTCCTACAAGTTTTGAGGCGTACTGGCCGGAATTCCTTTCCATTTTTCTGGGGCAAATTTCCCCATTTTGACTGTGTGGCTAAGTGCAGGGGCAAGCTTGGAGCCCAGTCCTTTGGTGGTCTGGGGTCTTTCTGTCTCTCTGGGGGCCGGGACGCAGCATGTGCTCGGGTGTCCCCTCAACAGCAACATGGAAGTGTATACTGGAAGACTGGAGCCAGCCGGGTGCTGACAAGCCTGTCACCGGGCCTCCCGTTACACAAGCAGCTGCAGGTAACTGTGGCCCTATTTTGGGAGTCAGTTGGGGGACGGAGGGGAGAGGAAGGCCCTGAACCCTGTGGGGCTGTGCATCGTTGAGCGTGTGGGAAGGTGGTTCAGGCAGTAGCTGTGAGCCTGGTCTGCCCTCACTTCAGCAATAGATTTCCCTGGTGTCTGGACAGGTCCCCTCCTGGCTCCTTCCCTTCCTCCTTTGGGAACCTCCTCATGGCATGTGACACCTCCTAGTGACACTGGGCAGGCAGACCTTGGCTTCTCCTCTCTGGGCTTCCAAATGCTCCAGCAGAACTGGACCTTGCCCTAGCACTGGCCCTTCCCTGCCCATCTCCATTGTCATCTGTGGCGCTCAGGCCTGCAGGCCAGGCTGACGTTTGGGCATGGAGGGCTTGGCCATCCATCTTCCAAGGTCACATTTGGGGAAGAGTCGCCCACATGTGCTGTGATCCCAGCACCAGGGAGGCTCCCAGAGTTGGGAGACTGAACTCAAACCTTAGCTTTTGCCCCTTCTTTCCAGGACTGTTTCTCCATCAGCAGCTCTCCAGTGTGGATGGACTCCAGCACCACAGCCCAGTGCCGCCAGCTAGAGGCAGCCGTGGGCGGGGCCCAAGCTCTCAGCTGCCTCACTGGGTCCCGTGCCTATGAGGTGGGCAGTGGCTGCCGCAGCCCAGGGGAATGGGGGGTGGAGAGGTCCTGGGAGGATGGTCTAGGTGTGGCTCTCGTCTCTTCTCGCTGGGTTTCTGGGAAGATGCAGCAGGTGACCTGTCTGGGTGGGGATCCCAAGAGGCTGTGGAACCCCTGTGGAACCCGGGCTGGTGCTCCTGTGGAACCCGGGCTGCCATTCTGACCCCTGGTTCTGATCAAGGCCATCCTGCCTCCCTGTGCTGCCCTCGGGAAAGGTTGGACCTCCTCTTGCTTATTCCTGGCTACAGCAGAGGTGTGAATATGGCTGCTGTTTGGAGGTGACGGTGCCACCCATTTTAGCCTCACTGACCTGGGAGTAGAAATGGCACTTACATTTTGACAGTTTTGAAGCTGAAAAGAGTCAATGAGTGTGGAACACTTAGTATAACTCCTGGCGGTGTTAAAAAAAAAAAAAAATGGGTGTCTCTTTCCTGCTGGCTTCAGCCAAGCTCCCAGGGGTGGCTGTGATTGGCTCATCTGGAGTCTTGTGACCCTACCTGGATCACCTGAAATAAGAATGTGGCACCTGTCCCTGAGTCCCCTGCACAGGTGCCCTTGGTTAGAGCACTCATTGTGCAAGTGAAGAGAGGCTTATTCCCCAAGATTTGTCCAGTCCTGGCTCAGCAGAGACCCTCCCAGGAGGGGTCCGGGTCTTCCCTCCACATCCCGGAGCTGCAGAGCGATGGCTCACCCACTGCCTGAGTGCTAGATTCCCAAGAATATTTTAAGAATTCAAAGACCAAAATCATATTGTCTTGGGGTTCAACAGATCTTAAACATTTCTAGATTTGAGGTCTTTTAAAAGTTTCATGGTAATTAATATGTAGGACCTGCTACACTAAACTCACCTTACGGATTTGATCACTCATTCTTAGAGTTGGGTTTCTAAGAATGTCACTCCTTTTCCAGCGTTTTACAGGAAACCAAATCGCAAAGATCTGCCAGCAGAGCCCCGAGGCCTACTCAAACACAGAGGTTGGTTAAATGTTCCTAATGATTGAAACAGTCACAGTTGAATTCCTTTGATCACACTTGCCTTTAGCAATAACACATCTCATACTCACTGGCTGAAAACATTGGCTGCAGACACTTTAAGGGATAGAATCATCTTTTTTTTTCTCATTGTCAGGCTATTTCCAAAGTGGAGGGGAAAAATGAAATAAATAGAAAGAGAAGTCAGGGGTTCTTCTGACCCAAAGGGGTGGCAGTTAGGGTCAGGGTGGGGGCTGCAAGGGCTGCTGTCTTCCTGGGACCACCAAGCAGATCTGTGTGTCTTTGAGAATCACAGTTCCCTGTGGGGCCAGTGTGCAACAGAGCCGATGTGTCCCCAGCCGTGACTCTTTGACCAGAGCGTGCGACTTCCATCCACAGTGGCTGAAAGCCATACCTACTGCCCTGAGAAGCAGCTCAACACCCTGGCTGTGGTTTCCATTTCTGTGTAATTAGAAAATGAATAGCTCATGATAAACAAAGTGCCTTTTTATTCTTGAAGTTAACCCGTCCTTTATTATTGAATGAGTTAGTGTTCTTGAAGTTAACCCGTCCTTTATTATTGAATGAGTTAGTGTTCTAGATTCTCTGCAAGCACTAGCCAGTAATGTAAGTTTTGGGTGGAGGGGATGTTGAGAACTCTCTCCAAATTCTGTGTGGGGAGTAAAGATCAGTATGGGGGTCAGGAGGCGAGGGCATTTTCTCCGTGGCCCACGGTTGGTTCCCATGTGGAAGCACAGTTCCAGGGTCTGGCATTTGAAGCCCATCTCCTCCCACTCGTGTTTGGGGTCTGCAGCTTCCAAGGGGCCAGCTTCAGAAGCTCCAGGAGTGTCTTTGAGGTTTCCTAGTCCTGTGGCCTTGCATCCCATGTCCCTTCTGGCTAAATTTAAAAACTACAGAAAGGAGGAAGTCAGGGCCCATCCTCCCTGGTGTGTGGAGTCCAGGTGGAAAATCCACTTGCCAGCATGACTATTTCACAGGGCTTTTGTTTTTGTCCTTGTTAAACTTGACCATTTTATGAATGATCAGAAACTGCAGCGCAAATAATAAAACAAAAAATAATAATAACAAAAAAGAGACTGCAGGGCGAGGTGCTGTCACTGCCACTCATCTGGGAAGCTCAGTCATGCCCCATGGGGCCCAGGTTCACGCTTCTGCTTCCCTTCCCAACCAGAGGTCCTCCCCTGCCGTGTGTGTGTCTGAAGCATTTGTTGCTCACGGTATGGAAGTGAGTCAGTGTCACTGTGTTTCTTTCTTTTTCAGAGGATTTCCTTGGTCAGTAGCTTTGCTGCTTCCCTATTCCTGGGGTCTTACGCCCCCATCGACTACAGTGATGGTAAGGCTTCCCGTCCTGGCTGCATGCGTGCGCACCGTGTGCCTGACCCACCCTGGTGGGGGCAGGTCATGCGGCTCTACCATTGCCAAGAAGGCGGGGTATTCCTTACCCTTTGCTGTGTGACAAATGGCCCCATTGCTTAGCAGCTGAAGATCACAAATGTTTATTATCTCACAGTTTGTGAAGGTCAGAAATCTGGGAGCAGCTTAGCGGGTGGTCCTGGCTCGGTCAGCTTGGCCACCAGTGCTGCTGTTATCTCAGGCTTGAGTGGGCTTGGGAGAGCCACTCCCAGTGCTGTGCATGTGGCTTGGCCAGAGGCTCCAGCTCCTCGCCACGTGGGCCTCTGCAGGTGTAACACGTTGTGGCAGGATTTACCACAGTGAGGGATGAGAAAGGAGAGCGTCACCACACCGAAGCTGCGGCCTTTCACACCCTGACCTTGGATATGAGACACTGTCACTTTTTCCCTCTCCTACTCAATACCAGGTACAGAGACTCAGGATGAACAGGGCGGTCTTGGAGTTGGGCTCCCACAAGGAGTTATTTATTGAGGTTTGGTTCACATTTGGGGAACTCTGGAGAGTGGTGAGCTTCTGGATCAAAACCCTGATGACAGTAACTGCAAAAGATGCCAGTGAGGAAGGGAAGCCAGGAGGAGGTTGCTGCAGGCACCCTTAGGTGAGGCAAGACTCAAAGGACAGAGAGCAGAAGAGGGGCGGAGGACGCAGGGCCAGGGCCAGACCCGTGAAAGTGACTTCAGAAGAGTCGTGAAGACTCAGAGCCTCCTGGGAATCCCTCTGAAGTGCTTGAGTGCTGTTCTAAGCCAGCATTTTTCTAGCTTTCAGGGAGGGAATGTAGGGTGACTAAGGCATGGTCCCCAAGCAACACTCATAGTCTGGAAAGAAAAGGTTCTACAGCTAAATGACAAGCACTCAGAGCAGCAGAACCTAACCCAATGGCCCTGAGTGCCTCCTCCCCATGTCAGGGACAGCCGTGCCACTGGCTAGCTGGCCCTCCCAAGGCTCATGCTCTCCCACCTCAGCTGGACCCCCAGTGGACCCCCCTCACTCTCACCTGAGAAGTCACCTCCTCACTCACCTGCTGTGTAGCCTCCTCCATGGGCTTGAGACCCCGTCAGCATCCCAACCCACCTCCACCTTCCTGCCTCCATCTTGGCCCAGGCGTTCAGGCTTCTCTTCCCTTTCCCATCCTCAGGAATGCCTTGGGGAAAATGCGCTATTTAAGGAAAAACTGTGATGAGCATGAGGAAGTTCAGAAGGCCTGAGAGATTTCCTCCAAAAGCCGCACATGTTGGGCATCCATGTGGACTGCCCTCGCCAGCACCAGGACCGTCTTGAGGAGACCCCTGCATCACAGGGGACAAAAAGAGCAGTTTCTAGTCAATACCTTGCTGGTACCCCCAACCCCACCCCAGCCATCTCTTAGCTTCAAGCAGATTTCCAGACTGAGGGGTATTGGAGCCTGTGAGGAACAGGGGGGCAGCGGTGAGGCCAGGTGTTTCCAAGGGCCCTCCTGACCTCTGGTCGGCTGGTTCCGGGATGACCCAGGCACCTTATGAACATTCCACTGAGAAAGAGCTCCAGAGACAAGAGTGAGAGAATAATCTGTCCTTTGTCAGAGTTGTACACTTTTCACAGAAAGTTCTTTTTCAAAATGTTCCTATCATTTGTTTTTCTTCCTAGGTTCTGGAATGAATTTGTTGCAGGTCCAGGACAAAGTCTGGTCGCGGGCTTGCCTCGATGCCTGCGCACCTCATTTAGAGGAGAAGCTTGGCCCACCAGTAGCTTCGTGCTCCGTCATGGTGAGTGCCCTTTCCAATGAGGTGGCTCGGTTTTTTGTTGTTTTTTTTTTTTTTAATTTAAATTTTCATTCTTTAATTAGCAAGCTTGGCGGGGGGTGGTGGTTAGGTTGGGACTCAGAGGCAAGGGCAGAAATGAAAATCCACTGGATTTTCCTTATCAGGCAATGTGACTCACTTAATGTGACTCACTTAAAGAATTCACAGCTACTAAGGAGTCAGTTTCCCCTCTCCCCAGTCACACACTCACTCATTGATACACAGATATACACATAGATTTTCTGTTACATACAAATCTTATACATACAAGTCTTATACATACAATGTATAAGACAAGTGTTTGGCATAAGTCAAATTAACATGTCTGGGTCAATGCCTTGCAGTGAGAAGGCATATGGGCACATGTATGAATTACTGCCGTGTGGCAGGGGAATTGGAAGGGACTTCAGAAAATTCCATTAGGAATTTATTAGAATTGGGAAAAAATATTGAAGGCGTAGGTTCCAGATGATTTTAGGAAGAAATGCTCAGAAAGTTGAAATTCTGGGGTGAAGGACCACCACTGAAGATTGAAGTGGGCAGTTTGGAGATATTAGAAATACCGGCGAGCATGGGAGAGCACAGCCTTGGGGGCAGGCTACCTGCGATGGAGTCCTGGCTCCCCTGTAACCAATTCTGTGACGTGGATCTGTGCCTCAGTTGTGTCATCACTTCCACTGTTCTGGACCAATGGATATATTACTTTCTATCTCGGCGAGTGGAACATGGAAAGTACTTAAGATAATGCCTGCCCCTGCCACCTCCACCCCTCCCCCCCATTAATATTGAAAGATTTTAATAATCAGTATGGCCCACACCCCCACACCCCACCCCACTTCAGAACTGACTCTGCCTGGGAAGGCCCTGGTGTGCCTTGGTTGACCGGCTTAGCTCTTGGTGGTTCTGTGGGGAGAAGGAGGCAGAGAGAGAGACCTGGGCCCTGCCCACGGGCCCTTTGGTGGAGAGCACATGCCTCACAGCCAGAACAACCAGAGGCCTGTGACTTCTGACTGGGAGGAATGGGCACAGGAGGACCTGACTATCTCGACTCTCCCAGCCACAGAAGACTCATCTGGGATCCAGAACCGCACAGGTTTCCTTGGGTGTAAGCAGGACACCCCTGGTCTGTGACCCCTGCGGCCCACAGCATTCCCATGCCCTGAGGTGTGGGTGGCTGTGCTGCATGATGGAATTTGCCTGAAGAGTGTGCTTGCCTTTCTCTGCAGGGAAACATTTCTTCCTACCATGTCCAGCGCTATGGGTTTTCTCCAGGCTGCAAAGTGGTGGCCTTCACTGGCGACAACCCAGGTGAGTACCTCAGGTGGGTTCACACTCCAAGTAGCTGACTTGGACCAGCTGGACATGTGGCAATTCCCCTGCCCCATTTAGCCCCTTGACTCCCCGCCCTCCTTGAAACCCTTCTGATGGGGCCTCCCTCCCTGGCTGTCCTCTTGCTGTCCTGAAATCCACCTCTTGTCCCTGACCCACCTGGGCCCTGACTCTGGTTTCAGGAGCCACTGAGGGCTGCTCCCTGCTTGTGAAACTGATCAGTGACTAGGAAGGCAAGCATGTCCACCCTCCCTAACCTGCCTTTTCTGCTCCAAGCTAAGCATCTAAGTGTTTCCAGTCCTTCTTCTAGGACATGGGTCATATCATCTGAGATAGGACTTATCCTTCATCCACACTCCTGTCCCCCCCGCTCCCACTGGCCTCTCCTCTGCCTCCTCCAGGGTTCCTGAAGCCTACTCCTGAGGGTAGCCAGCCGGTCTCTGAAGAAAGACCAGCAGCCACACTGAGTTGCACCCTAACTGAGACCCCTCAGCCCCCCACTTGCAGCCTTTTGCCTAATGAGTCACCCAGATAGGGTTGCTGGATTTGGTAGATACAAACAAGACCCAATGAAATTTGAATTTCAGAAGACAAATAATTGCTTTGCTAAAGTGTGTCCTGTGCAATATTTGAATTTCAGATAAAGAACAAATAAGTTGTTACTATATGTCTCAACTCTTGTTTCTCTGAAATTCAAATTTAACCAAGTGTCTTATGTTTTCTCTGGCAACTCAACTCCAAATCTCCATGCTAGGCTCTGAGGAAGGGTCTCAGGTACACGTAGGGGATTTGGCTGCTACACCCGGGCGCAGGATCTGCTGTCATGGGGAATCTCATCTTCCTGCTTAGAAGCACTCTTCCTTCTGTCCATGTCCAGGGCGTGTGGGTCTCTATTTCTGCTCTTTCCTGCTCCTTTTAAAAACATTTCTTTTTTTTTTTTTATTTATTTATTTTTTTTATTTTTTTATAGAGGCATGTTTTATTTATTTATTTTGTTTGTTTGTTTGTTTTGTTTATACATGCACTGGGTACAGTCAGAAGCACGGGAGGGTGAGAGAATTCACCAGAGCCAGAGCGGGGAGCAGAGCAGGCAGAAGGACCGAAGTACACTGCTGAGGGGAGCAGCGGGTGGCAGGAGAGGTCTGCGCACCATGTGGGATCCTCCGCCGGTGGCCGGGGAGCAGCCGGGGATCGAACCGGCGCCGCAGAGGCCGCGGGCAGCTTCGCAACCCAGCGCTCAACCGCTGCGCCACCGGGGAGGCCCTAAAAACATTTCTTTTCAGTTATTTTTTTATTTCAGCACTTCTCCCTGTTCTCACACCCGTCAGCCTCCTAGTACTTTCCTCCTGTTTGTTACACAGACGAGGGGCGGATTCCATGTCACTGGCATCCTTTCTTCAAAGCCTACTCTGGGCTTGGGTTGGTGCTTGGTGTGATCACAGAAACTGCTCAGGGACAGGGAAGACAGAACTCCTGGGGGTTCCATCCAGACAGGGAAGACAGAACTCCTGGGGGTTCCATCCAGGACACTGATGTACCCACGAGCGTGGTGGGAAGCCCTGGCCAAGCCCTCAGCTCCAACAGCAGACAGGCCAAAGCAGAGTGGGGCAGGAAGAGGGGAACCAGTGACATAAATGTTTCTTCCTAATCACAAAAGGATAGGCACTAGAAAAAATGTGGAATGTAATAATAGCTCTGACTATCACTACGTACAACTCCACAGACACGTGCCTCTCTCCTATGAGTCAGTTGTTTTTGGTGTCCACACCCTAGCAGCTCTGGCGTGCAGCTCCCAGGGGATGCTCAGGTCCCTGTTCCTGTCAGCCCCAAGAAGTGGGGGGTCTGGTGTCCTTCAGATGAGAACAGGAGACAGGCACCATTCAGGAAAATTCTATACTCTGTAGGCAGTGTTTGTTTCCTTTCAAAATGAAATCTTCACTGAGTCTTATTAGGAAAATACATACTTAACTCTATCAAGTAGGAAAACCATGAGGGAGAATAATGGGTCTGCTTTATAAACACTGAAATGTGAGCCTCTGGGCGTGTTGGAGCTGGAATGGCAAAGAGCAGCTTTCTAGCCTTCCTCTTGGACTTTGGTTTCAGGCTAAATGTTGGGCATAGCCCTTAGCCAGTCCCTCCCAAAGTCTAACTTTCAGTTTGCTGCTACCTTCAAAAATGCATTCGTTGGTCCTTCATTAAAACACTAGCAAATAGACTAGCAAAGGCTCATGCTTTTTTCCTTATTCACAAAGGGTGCCTCTTCATTGCAGAAAATATGTTTAAATACCAACAAACTAAAATGAAGGACATAAAAATCATTCATAATCCTTTAACCCAGAGGTGACCGCAGTTAAAATTTTTCTAGGCCTACAGACAGCCTATCAACCCAGGCAATATTTATGTGCAACATCATTTTAATGGTTATCTAAGGTCAGTTATCCCAGCATTTACTTCCTTCCCTTGGGATGCAGACTGGCGTACGTTCCTGCATGTGGGCAATGCAAACAGTGTTGTGGTCCTCATCCTGTCCTGTCCTTGTCCCTGGGAGTAACTTCTCCGAGATGGGATTCCTGGATCCCAGGCTCGAATACACCCTGCTGATTGTGCCTCTCTTCATGCACGCCTGTTCCCCTCTCATGTCTCTTCACGCATTCATTCACTCAATGCTTAGTGAGCACCTACTATGTGCTAGGCCTTCTTTCATTTCAGAGTATGTCAGTGAACAAGGCAGCTAAAGATTGCTGTGTGGGGTCATGTCTAAAGGATGATAGGCAGCCAACATGGCCTTAACCCCTTTTTATTCTGTTGGGGCCTCATTCTGCTCCTCTCTTACCTTTGTCTTTCTCTGCCATGTGTATCCTGGAGTCTTGACTTGACCCTCTTGGCTCTCTGCAATCTTGGGAGCATCTCACAGTTGGGAGTTTGATCTCCTTTAGGTAAGAGACATCCCAGCCCAAATCAGAGACCCTGACCACAGAGACACCACCTTCTGACCCCTGAGACTGTCTCCTCTTTGGGCCTCCTGACCCCTTACTGTCTATTCCTCCCTTTACCCCAGTACAATGGGGGGGATGTGCTCCCATCCAGGGGGTGTTTGCAGTTTCTTTGTGGCTCCCATGTGACTTCCAGTTAACCAGAGACTCCCTTCCATTCTCAGCATCACTGGCAGGCATGCGGCTGGAGGAAGGTGACATTGCGGTAGGTGACTTCTCACACTCACGGGTGGACCCAGCTCTTTCTGATCTGGAGGCCAAGGGGGCTGGTTCTCAGCAGCATCTTTGCTACTTATCAGAGAATCTGCTGGTCCTAAAAGGCAGCCGAGGGACAGGACACTGACACCCAGTCCTGGGCCTGCCTGTACCTCTCTTTTAATGTCAGTTGCCTTCACTGTGCAGGTAGACTGCCTGTCTGCCTTGACCAGGGCCGGTCTTGGTGAGCACTGTGGCAGAGCCTCAAACCTTGGGTTAGAGGACTGTGAACTCCCCAAATGAATAAGATGGACACAAGTCATGACCTGGGTTTAGTGGGATGGTCATTTGGGAAAACAACCACCATCCAGATGATTAGTTAGATGCAGTTTGCATAAGTTCTAGAAAAGTGTCCCTTGAGATCCCTGAGAGCCTAGATCAGGGAGTCAACTTCTGACTTGTCTGGTGTGGGAGGGTCAGAAGGGTTTCTCCAAGGAATTGGCATCCAACCTGAGGTCTGTAGCATGAGGCGTGAAGCGAGGGGTCAGAGTGGGTAGACCCAGCCAAAGGCTGAGGCACCCTGCCTCTTCCCCTTTCTCCCCAGGTCAGCCTGGGCACCAGTGACACCCTGTTTCTCTGGCTCCAGGAGCCCACACCCGCCCTGGAGGGCCACATCTTCTGCAACCCTGTTGATCCCCAGCACTACATGGCACTCCTGTGGTAGGCTGGTTGGGGGTGCGGTGGCATGGGCAGGTCTGGCACCATCTGGACTCCCCACTTAGTTGTTCTTTGAAACAGGCTCTCGTGGGCAGCTCAGACCCCAGCGACTCACTGGGTCTTTCTGACAGCAAGCTGTGGGGGAGGGGGATTGGGAGATGAACACAAGATCCAGACTCCCCCCAATCCGGATTGAAATCCCAATCCCTCTCCAGCTGCATCCTCTGTGACCTGGGACAAACCCCACAGCACACCCAAGTCATGCTTAGCTCTTAAGTTAGGGGGAATCAGAGCATTTGTTTCATAATGTTGTTGTGACATGTCTGGCACATGGTAGCAACTAATGGCAGCAGGATGTCCTGCTTCTGCATAGTTCTTACTAATGGGTGGGCTCTGCACCCTGAGCACAGGCCTTTGGAGACCTGCCCGAAGCTGCTGAGGAAAGGTTTTGTGCCTCTAAGCCCCTGGAACCACTATAGAATTTTGAGGTCTAGTAAACCTTACCAACCTCACCCTATTCCACGTGGTACAATGTGCAGAAACCCTAGCTCCTTGTCTCCCTGGGGCTCTTTTATGGCAGCCTCTGAGCAGAGCCTTAGGCAAGTCATTCCGGTGACTACTGGGTTGGGCGCTTGATACCTGAGGGGAACCTCACACCTGCCACCCACTGGCTGGGGCTTGTGGTGCAGCCTAAGCTGCAGCCCCTCCACCTGGGACCCTTCACTGAAACACGAGGGTTCAGTGCTGCATGCGGTGGGCCCCTCCCTCAGCCCCATGTGCACTTATACAGCTTTAAAAATGGCTCCCTCATGAGAGAGAAGATCCGGGATGAGTCTGCTTCCGGTTCCTGGAGCGAGTTCTCCAAGGCGCTTCGGTCCACAGAGATGGGAAACGGTGGAAACCTGGGTAGGTTGTTTGGTGATGCCTGAGCCTTTGAAGGGGCAGCAGCTGCTTGCAGGATGGGGAGGACCCCGGGGGAGGGTCTTGACTGGGGAGAGAGGGCAGCAAAAAAGCCAAAGGGAGGCCTGTGTGTCCACAGTCCTGCTCCACGGGCGTGCAAGCTGGATACAGTCCCACGTGCTGAGTGTGAGGTAGGGCTAAGAGGCTGTTTTTGACTGATGCTCTGTATCCCAAATGGAAGATCAGCCCATAGCTCCATCTTCTGTCCCCCTTGAAGCACCTGGTGGCAGCATCAGAGATCGCCCCATCAGGGCCTGCTTGACCCTGGTGCTTCCCTGGACAAAGCTTCCTGCCCCAGATGTGAGGTTCTGTTAGCAAAAGTGCTCAACAAGGGGGCGCCTTCTGAGCTGGGTGAAGATGGGCCTTCCAGGATCCAGCCGATGCTGGTAGGTTAGGGTTAGCTGTGCCGCTGCCTCCTGGCCTCGGCTGCCAAGTAAGAACAGGAAATGTGACTCGAAGAAAGGCTTGCCTAGGCCTTTCCCACTGCCCTTTGTCCTGCTGGAAAGAGGGATTTGCTGCTGTCATCTGGGGGAGAAGATAAGGGCCATTTCATGCTGCTGTTTCTGTTGAGAAGTCAAGCTTTTCTTTTTGACCACTGGTCTTGCTTCAGGTTTTTATTTCGATGTGATGGAGATCACCCCCGAGGTTGTTGGCCGTCACAGGTTTAGTGCGGAAAATGGAGAGGTACGTGTAGTTACTGGTTTTGGAGCTGAATTGGCTCCATCTTCGAGTGTTAACTCCAACAATTGCTTATCAAGTAATGCTCCTTTTAGGGGCATTACTTATTGATTGTTAAAACAAACATTTTTTGATGTGCCTGGCTACATTCTAGATGCTGAGAGATCAGCAGTTTATCCAAGACAGAGGCCAGCCTTTCTCTCAGAGAGGAGTGCAGAACCCAAGGGTTCCCCTCTGCACGTGTATGTGCCCACGCATCACTGAGCCTCCTAGACCCTGCCCTTGGCCAGCTTTAGCCGACATGCCCAAGAACTCCCAGCTCCCCAGCTCCTGGGTTTTCTCTGCCTAGGAGCGCCTCTGGGGTGGGAGACAGCAGCATTGTCAGACCCACCTAGCACTGCTGAGTGCCGGGCTCTGCGCTGGTAGTTTTCTAACCTGCCTCATTTTCATCTCAGAATAACTCTGAGAGGTAGGTGTTATTGTCCCCTTAATGAATGAAGAAACTTAGTCCCAGAGTGGCTGAAAATGCTCATCCATGCCCCATCAGATGCTTCACATTGTATGTGCCCAGCACAAGCTCCTGGCTGCCGCTTAGTGTCATATATAGATTGAGCTCTGTTGTCTACATTGATCATTACAACAGCCCTGAAACATGGGTACCACTGTTACCTCAGTTTTTGTCAGGAAAGAAAATGAGGCTCAGCAAGAGCCACAAAATTCATTTAACGTTGCAGAGCTGAGTGGCAGAGACAGCGCTTGAGCTCTTAGCTGCTGTGACAGCTGTCTGGTGCTCTCACTCCGCAGATTGACACCCATCTGAGGCTGTGAGGTGTGTGTTAGTGTGAGTGTGTGTGGCAGGTAAAGTTAGTAGTTCAAGAGCCTAACCCTGCATGCTGTCCCATGGAAGCCTGAGTCCGCATCCAGGCTGTTGTTTAAAAAGACCACACACACACACACACACACTCACACTCACACATGTGCCAGTGGGTAAGGAGAGCTCTTCATTGTGTGCCCTTCTTCTGGAAACAGGTCCCAGCATTCCCCAGGGAAGTGGAGATTCGTGCCCTGATCGAAGGACAATTCATGGCCAAGAGGATTCATGCCGAGGGCCTGGGCTATCGAGTCAGTAAGTGAGCTGTGGGCTGTGTTCTGGGGGGGCACCAGGATCCTGCCCACAGGTGCCTAAGAGCCTTTTGACCTTCAGGCCAGACCTATGGCACTGTCAAGGCTACCCTCCGGGGGCGTCATGCAGGAGGGAGATGGAGCAGGGACCCTGGTGATAGGGTGAGAAAACGAGTGGACTGGCACTTGTGTCAGGTATAGACTGGGAGGCAGTGATTGGGTTCCTCTTCTCTGCTCAGGTCCCCAGTAGCCTCATCTCCTAGAACTGTAGGACTTGAAGAACTTCCTGTTCTCTAAGTTCTTGAGCTCTAATATGCAGGCTAAATGCCCAAGTCTGGATGCTGAGAACATGATGAGCATGAGGCCTGAGTTGGGGCCATGATGGGACCTTGGTCTTCCAGCCTGTTCTGGCCCCATCTGCCAGTAGGGCACAGTTCTGGGCATTTCTATGTGGACAGGAAAGAGTGGTATGTAGTCTAGACTGAAAGGTCTAGAATGGAGAGGGCAGTATCAGGGCTGGGGGAGATGTCCAGGGGAGAAAGGGATTTCTAAGAATTTGAGCTGTGGAATGGGCAGGTTTCGGAGGTGAGAGAGCTCCCCTTGCTAATGGCATTTGAATGTTCCAGGGGTTTGCAAGGAGGTTGGAGTCCAGGTTTCTAAGATCTGTTTGTCCCTCTGGGAAGCAGCTATTATTACCAGAGAATGTAGAAAATTCCAGAAGATTGCTTGAAAGCCGCCTCCTGATGCTTACGGATAAGCCAAGTTCTATGTAGTCTATGTTTTATGTCTTTGAAGCAACCAGTAAAAGGACACTATAAAAAGAAGCACTAGGTAAACCTTTTTTGAAAACCTGTTAGGCAGCATCCACTAAAGCCATATATAAACCTACCCAGCAACCTCACCTCTCAGTGGACACAACAGAAATGGACAGGCATTCCTGGGAGCTGTGCGCCGCAGCCCATGGTAACGACCGATGCCTGCTGAGGGTAGACCAGCGCCTGTGGTGTGCTCATACAAGGTGGCAAACTGAATGAATCTCACAAATGTATTGCTGAGCCAAAGAAGCCAAACACAAAAATACACTTGGCAGGATTCCACCTGCATCACATTTAAAAGCAGACAGAACTGTTGGTGCTGCTGGAAGTGGGAGAGGTAGCATTTAGCTCTCAGGGGCACAAGAGGGTCTCGGGTGCTGGAGTATTCTGTTTGGCAGGTTACACAGTTGTGTTGAGTTTGTGAAAAGTTGTCAAGCCATCAGCTTTTGACATGTATGTACATTTTTTCAAGCCGTATGTTATAGTTCATTTTAAAAGTTTAAAAAATGTAAAATGAACATTCCCCTTCCTTTCTATTGCAAAAGAAATTCCCCAAGGATCTGCAAGGACTTCAGAGTGTGCTGAGACATGAGATCAGGCAGGGTGTGGAGGCTAGTGCCTGGCAGGAAGGGGTCCTCCAGCCATCACGAGGAGCGCTTGGTGGGGGTTCTCCCCAGTGGCCAGGGTGCCAGTGGAGCTCAGGAACAGCTCATCTGATTATGTCATTGTTCTGAGGCACTAAAGCATTTCTTGTGCAAGACGGCATAGTTACTTATCCTCTTACCAAGCTTAAAAGCAGAATCAAACCTCTTGCCAGCTTTGCAGGGTTTCTCAAACAAGATCACATGAATGCATGTGCTTGAAAGTGAGGGATGGGCAACTGCATAGGTGAGGCCTCATCATCCCAGCTGTGTGGACTGACCCGTTCATGTCTTGTTCTGACCACTCATCATCTTGTTTCAATAGTGTCTAAGAATAAAACTTGGAATAAGACTGATGATCGTCTCAGTAATAGCTGCCCGTGCTTGTTGAGAACCGACTATGTGGTTCCTATGTACTTCCTCCTTATAAAGTTCCTAAGTACTTAGTTCCTGGTTACTTAGTACTTTATCCTTACAAACAACAGTGCCTCTAGGTACTGGCATTGCTCCCACTTCAGAAAGTAAGAAACCAGGACTCAGAGTGTTAAGTAACTTGCTTGAGGCTGGCAGAGCTTTTGCACCAAACCGGTCTGATTCCAGACACTGGGTTCTTAACCATGGGGCTATGTCTTTATTTAAGGAACGATCTCTCTCTTGAACTTTGAGACCATCAGACATATGCATCCCACTGGGCTGGGCTAAAGCCAAGGGCCCTTTCACTGTGTTTCCATGTATATTTCACTTTGTCTGTCTTGATTTGTAAAAACAAGAACACTGTAAAAGCAAGATTGGAAAATGAAGAAAAGAGATTTATAATCCCACCTTGTCTCCCAGCCACTCATGCCAATTGGGAGCATTTTCCTAACAGTTTACTTCAGGAGCTTATTTTTATATAGGCACAGTCCTATTTCCTTTGTACGTATAAACCCCCAGATTTACCAAAAGTCAGAGAAGCTGTAGCTTCTGTGTGATTCCACCTTCCCTTTTTGGCCTGCAAAGTCTTTGAAACCTTCTGTGGATGCTGTTATAAATCCTGGGGTACCTACAGAGATGGCTGATATGGCTTTCACAACTACATAGTGAAGCCGTCAGTGTGAAGGGTAGGTAACTCAAGCTACTTGCATTTCAGCAGATGTTTATTGGACACTTGTTGGTGCTGGAATCCAGGTGTGGTTTATTCTCATCCACTCTATTCTCCCTGCTGCTGGACATGGACCATGGTTTGGTTGCTACATGGAATCATACTAGAACATCTTCCCATTTCCTGGGTTGTTTCCTTAGGGAGCTGACATTCCTTCCCTTTCCCTAACCCAGGCACTTTTTTTTTTTTTTTAATATATATATTTTTTTAATAGAGGCATGTTTATTTATTTATTTATTTGTTTGTTTGTTTATACAAGCACTGGGTACAGTCAGAAGCGCGGGAGGGTGAGAGAATTCACCAGAGCCAGAGCAGGGAGCAGAGCAGGCAGAAGGACCAAAGGACACTGCTGAGGGGAGCAGCGGGTGGCAGGGGAGGTCTGCGCGCCATGTGGGACCCTCCTCCGGTGGCCGGGGAGCAGCCAGGGATCGAACCGGCGCGGCAGAGGCCGCGGGCAGCTTCGCAACCCAGCGCTCAACCGCTGCGCCACCGGGGAAGCCCCTCCCAGGTACTTTCTTAATGGTTGAGAGTGAAGATGACAAGTGAGAGGTGACAGCAGAGGCTTAAAACAAATAAAACATTATTATTTGTTTGGAAATACTAGTAAATGAATGTCTTCATTGTAGAAGAATCGTGACTCAGAAACATACAGATCTAAGCACTGTGAGATTGCAGCCATCTGTTTCCTGCCCTGTCCCCACTTTCCACATCACCACTTGCCCAGTAGTGGTCATGGAAGACAACTGGGGGGCAGGGAGTACTAGCTCTGTATTCGGGGAGCATCCAATGCCACTCTACCATACCTGCCTAAATGCAGTTGCTCTTGCTAAATAGGTTTCTCTGTGTCCTAGCAGTTTATCTGCCTCTGTCTTGTGCTGCAGAGATGAGTCACACTGAAGGGCTCATCTCATGGCAGAGTTTAGTTTATTTAGACTTATTTGCATTCACTACTTTTTTGATAGCCCCCGCAAAACACATGTTTTTGTCTGTTTGATAATTCAGCTTTGTCTCGTGATTACAGCTCAAGAGATGCTCTTGACAATCTCCATTGTAACTGGATGTGGAACTACATGTCTTTTATTCGACTGAGATTTATGATTTTTTTTGTTGTGAAAACTATGCCTGCAGTAGTATATGCATCATGCAGCTAGCTACTAAACATACTAATAAATCAGATATCTTTTTATCAAGCACTCTGGTTAAGAAATAGACCCTTAGAACCATCCTGGCTACCTTCCTCAGTTGCATCCCACCCCTATCCCCAGGTAATTTCTATCCTGATTTTTATTATCATTCACCTGAGGTTCTTTATGGCTTTGCCAACTTTAGAGATGTGTGCATCTCTAAAATGACATTGTTTTGATTGCCTGCAATTGAACTTCATGGTATTTGGAATTAAACTGTTTGTGTTCTTATGTGCCTTGCTTCTTTAACTCAGTGTTATGTCTATGAATGTGCCCATACACACTGCATAGCTATTAATTGTTCACTTGCACTGTAGTGTCATATCCATCACATGATTAGACCACCATTTATCTGTTCTTCTGTTGTCTTCCCAGCTCACCACTAAGAGCAGTGCTGCTGTGAGTGATCTTGTAAACATCCTTGCCTGATTTTTCAGTTTCATATCTTTTTTCTTTAAGAAGCCTTGGTAGTAAACTGACAACCTGAGGGAAGATTCCCTTTCTGGACTTGTTGTGTTTGGCTAGCATAACGTCTACTTTTATTTCAATCAAATATGGTTAGGATTGATGCTCACTCAGTGTCATGTCATCATGTCCTACACAAATCTCATCCACTCAGTCACGCTATCTTCTTGGCTCCAAAAGACATTTTCTTTGTTGATATTTGAGTTTAAAGATGCTACTTCTTTTTCTAGTAATTTCTCTTAAAATTTTAACATAGATACCAAAATTTATAGTTTTGATCAACTTTAGAGTTTATATCCATTCAGTAGTTATCTTCTGCACTCTAGACAGTCATATTCTCTCTCCTCTGTTTATCTCCAATTGCCTAGTTCCAGAGTGAAGCTGATTTGTGTGCATTATATGTCAATAATTACTCTGTTTGGCTGGTTTCTATGGTGACTACCAAAAGCCAGTTGTGATATTTATCGTATCACAACTCTAACTTTATTTTGGATTTATATTCCCTCTTTGCTTCAGGTTGCCCCTGACTACTTCTTTCATGTAGATGTTGGTCTCTGACTGTATGAGAGTATTTTTATGTTGCTTTTGTGCCTAAGTGCTACTTATAAATACATGGAACTTTAAGTTCAAAATTCATATTATTTCAGAATTTTGAAAATAATATTCCATTGTTTTCTGACTTTTAGTGTTGCCAGTGATGCCATGTGGATATTTTTTTTTTCTCTACAGAATCTTGTCTTTCTGAAACCTTGGGCTTCTGAAATTTCTCACCTAATATCTAGGAGTAAGCCCTATTCATTCATTGTCCTGAGCACTCATTGGCTTCTTTCACTTGAATACACCTGACTATTTTTAGCCTGGGGAAATTTGTTATATTATTTCTTTATTATTTCTTACTCTCCATTTTTTCTGTTATTTTTACTAAAATTCATATTACACCAGTGGTTTTCAAACAGGAGCAGTTTTGCCCCCCAGACAATAGTTGACATAATCTGGAGACATTTTTGGTTGTCATGAGTGGGTTTTGCTATGGTCATCGTGGAGAGAGACCAGGGATGCTGTTAAACACCCTATGATGTACCGGGCAGGAAAACCCCCACAATGAGGAATGAGCCACCCTAAAATATCAACATGCCTTGGGGGGAATTGTCACAGCCATTCATTTTTTCCTTGCAGTGCCCAAGACAAAGATTTTGGCCACTGGAGGGGCATCTCATAACAGAGACATCTTACAGGTAAGGCTGAGAGCCGGCCCTGCACTGTGGTCTCTTCCACATCTGTTAGGTCGAGACCCTCCCTGAGCAGTAAGGACTGCCTCTATTCCTACTCCTCAGGGGTGGGAGACCACAGCTTATACTCTCCCAGGAGGTCAACTCTGTGGCCTCCTAATTCACACTGAAAGCAGGTTCTGCTCTAAACTCAGATGAAATCTGCTGCCTTTTGTAACTCCACTCAGATACCAGTATTGGCTCTGGAGTCCACAGAATGTGTCCATCCTTCCACGGCAAACCTTTTGACATGTTACACCAGCATTCTTTTTTTTTTTTTTTCAATTTTCGTGTAGAAGAGCTGTGGTGTAGGCCAGAGGTGTGAGGGGTGAGAGTATTCACCAGAGACAGAGTGGAGAGCAGAACAGGTGGATCTATTGAAATATACTGTTAAGGGGATCAGCGGGTGAGACAGGAGAGGTCTGCTGTGCCATATGTGGGTTAGCTCCCTGGCCAGTGATAGCACTGAGACTTAACCCCTAGGCCACCAAGGAAGCCCTGATATAGGGCTAATATAGCATTCTTATGTTGATTTCCAGGCTATACCATTTAGCCATTTTATCATGACAAGGCAGAAGACATAGGAAGCATGCTAAGCAAGATCAATGTGGATGCAGCAAGGCAGAAGACTAACACAACCCCCAGCATACCCAAGAATCCTGATGTAGCATTCTTGTGTTCTATCTACTCACCTCTTCATCTCTCAGCCATTTCTCTTGTAATATAGTAGCTAGATTTCTGTACTTCTGGTTGTTCATTACATGAGAAATATGTTACCAGAATTGGAATCCACTTGCGGGTTTGTGAGAAGCAGGCTCTCACATCATGAGACTGTCAGTATCTTATTGGGACAGTGTCTTATGGGGGCATTTTGGGATGTAACCTGAGGCTTCCTTATCTATTCAAGTAACAGCATCACCTGTTGCCTTATAATATACCTGCCATAGGTAAAATTCTCTAGAAGCAGAGACTAAAATGGAAATCTTCTATAGCCAATTTTGTGAGAGTGTGCTCCCAGGAAAAAGGGACTGAGGGATGTAAGTCGGGCAGAGGAAGGAGGATAAGCAAGGATGTGATTCGGACTGGAGCCTGCTTCAGCTCCATTCCATGGGGATTTCTGGAACATGAATTATACCACAGACTTGATTCCACCTTGGGGTAAGAGGGTCAAATGACTGCCCTGAGAGGTAAGAATAACCTCCTGTGAGAAGCAGCCTCTGTTGAGCAAAATCAGAGGGGCATCTGTGAACCATTAGCAGTCAGCACAGCATCTGAGGGTGGGGTACACACCAGTCTAATGAAGGAGCATCAGTGGCATCTGTTATAATAGCTCTGGTCAGCTTGGACCTCAGGTCTTTTCCATGTGAGCCCCTCTTAGTATAGGTCCTCCATTCTAAATTTATACAATTTATTTATTTTTGTGCACCTAAATGGAAAACTTTATCTTTATCCCTATAAAACATGCCCTTGCTGGTTTGGGAATGCTGGGGGTTGTTAGTGTTAGTCTTTTGCCTAGCTGCCTCCACCTTGACCTTGCTTAGCATACCTCCTAAGTTTTCTGCCTTGTCATGATAAAATGGCTAAATGGTGCAGCCTGGAAAGCTGTGGCCCTCCCCTGGAGACTTTCCCTAGGTTGTCCTGACCCTATTGTTACCAGGGTGACATGGCCAACTGTATTTCTTTTAAGGTAGTAGAGATAGAATGGAAGATATCAGAAGACAGATGAGGAAAGAGAGCCTGAAAGGGCATCCCAAAATGGCTTTGTGCCCTATAAGTAACCACTCACCACAGAAAGACCCTCTGTCTCCTTTCCAGGTGCTTGCAGACGTGTTTGGTGCCCCAGTGTATGTCATAGACACTGCCAACTCCGCCTGTGTGGGCTCTGCCTACCAAGCTTTCCATGGTAGGTTGGAAGGGTTTGGGGCACAGATTGACTAAGGAGGATGCAAAGGGGAGACTAAAATGTTTCCAATCTTTGGGGATGTTGGCATCGTGGGAGTGTTAGCTTCATTTTACTCCCTCCTAGCAAGTGACAACCAACCTAAAACCTCTGGTCCTTTGTTCGTTACTTAAAGTGGGGGAAGGGAGGCAGGGGCCTAACTGAACCAGGCCTGGTCAGAGGTAGGCTCAACACAGGGACATTAGAGAAGGATGTAGAGCATGCTTGAAGGCACACAGGCATGAGTCTGGGCATCTGGAGGGCAGAATAGATGAATGAAGTCTAGAGCCATCTTTCACAAAGGTGAAAGCTTCAGACCCAAGCAGTCCAGGACCCTGGACAGCTCCTTCTGGGCCCTGCTCTCTCATGGAGGCCTCTGCTAAAGATATCTCCCCAGTAGGGGCAGATTCTCCTTGGAGCTGCACATGCTTGCAAGGGCTTTTTTCCTCCAGTCTGGTCAGTTTGCCCTATTCTCTGGCTACCCATCTACCACAAGGGCTTTGTCTTTTCTTTCTGGTGGTTTCATTTCTCACACTTTTACTCTTAACACATTTATATAAACATGTTTTTCTTGCAACGTGGACAATGAATAGGGTCTATATCATCCTCTTGATGATTAGCCACTTACCCTTCTTTTATTCCTTTCCCTCCCTATCTTATCCACCTCAGGCCCTCCTCATGCCAACACCTGTATCATTGGGCAATTTATTTCCAGATTGTTATGTTTTAAGTTAGCCTTTACTGCATACTGGCTTTTATTTGCACCTCCCTATGAGCCTTTCTTTCTATTTTTCTTCTCTTTCTTTGTTTCCACACTAGCTTTGTTGGGCGCCACAACTCAGACAAAGCTTTAGGAGGGAACCAGTAGGTGATACTGTTTTGAGGTCTTACATGTCTTTGTTTTGCCCTCCTAAAGAATGCCATCTTGGCTAAACAAAGGACACCATGTCCAAAGTACTTTTCCTCAGAACTTTGAAAATTGAGTGTGGGCCTTCCCACACTCTGAGCGGGGATTTTGCAACCATCAGTTAAAAAACAGGGCCTCACACCTCGAGTGGACCCTCCCCTCTGCTGGTGGTGTTTTCTTATCCATCTCATACTGCTCCTCAAATTGCCTGGGAATTCCTCACTGTGCCTTGCCCACCTGTGGCAGCCTCCCTCTTGTCCAGTGCTGCCGCGCCTTTGTGTGGTGAATAGTCACTGAACGCCTTCTATTGTGGGCAGCCTCCTGGGCGCCTGGACTACCTTGGAGACCAGTCCCTGGCCGAACCGAGCTTCCAGCTCAGCAAGGGCTATTCCTCCAACAAGTCTGTGGCCATAAATTGGGAGAAATGTTCTGAGGAAGCTTAGCTGGTGCTCAGAGGTAGAGGGTTGGGAGGAACCCCCTTAAACTTGTGTTCTCAGCTGCAGCTTATCTGAGGAGCAGAGCAAAGAAGCAGGAGGAGTGGCGCGAAGGACTTTGCACACAGTGAAGCAGCTGTGAGGTTGTGGGACCAGGCCACCGTGGGCGATGGCAAGGGTGGAGCCACGTGAGGGAGGAGCCACGTCAGTCAGATGTCAGCAGTTAGGTGACCTGGTCTGTGGAAAGCACGGCCACAGTGAGCAAGACATAATAGTCCTGCCAAAGGGGGTCTACACTTAAAATTTTTCTTTTCTTTGGTTTTCGCAAGTCATGATTTATTATGAGAGAGAAATTACCCATTCTTTTTATTTTTTTACCAAAGTAAGTTTTATTTTTTATTCTGTTTTATTTTTTTAATTTTATCGATTTGCCAATTGTTGACATAACGATATAATTTTGGAAGTACAGCTTCTCACCAACATACATGTACATGCTTCACTCATCCTCCACAGAGCTCTACTGCCCCAATCTATCACTTTACCTCTCATGTTCCTACCTCTTTCCTTCCATCCCCTCTGATTTTTTCACAAGTCTAAAAATGATTTTTGTTGTGTTTTTCCAGTTTGTTTTCTTTCATCATTTACTTTCTGCAAATGAGTGTCCTTCACTTCCTGACTTACTTTACTTAGCATCACAACTTTCAGATTCATCTGTTTTTGTCCCAAAAGGAAAAATCACCCATTTTAAATGGTGATGTTTAGTATATTTACTAAGTTTTGCAAACATCACCATCATCCAGCATTAGGACATTCTTTTCACCCAGAGAGAAAATGCTATTTCCAGCTAAAGTCATTTGCAATGTGCACTGATGTGAAATGGACTTTCCCTTCCAGGCCTTGCAGCTGGAACAGATGTGTCCTTTTCTGAGGTGGTGAAGTTAGCCCCAAATCCCAAGTTAGCTGCTACCCCCACCCCCGGAGCTTCTCAGGTGAGAGACGTCAGAATCTGGGCATAGCATTTGCATTGTGAAAGCCAACTAGGTTGTTTTTTTCAAAGGTAAGTTTTTCCTCATCACTTACATCAAATTTGATGTATTCAACTAAAGGGGAAAACCCTATTTTAATTGTCAAGGAAACAGCTAAAGAAGCCAGTTGTCAACTGGGATTTACAGATCTTGCAGGTTTTACAGCCCCCAGGGGTCAGATAGATTGCTGGGCTAATCTTCATTGCTCCCCATGCCCATTTCACTGGGTTACTGAAGCCACTGAAAGACCCTGTCACGTAAACAGAACATGTGCTGGGTTTCCAGCACTGGAATCTGAAGTCTGGATCCAAGATAGCTGTGAGTCAGGGAGGACAAGAAATCCCTGTGAAGGCAGACCCCACTCTTTGCTGGTTGGGTTTCAATTTTCAAGTAGTCTCAATTTTTTTTTTATTTACTATAAATAAATAACTAATTTTAATGATGTATTTTAAAATCCAATTTGTCCAAAATATTGTCATTTTAACAGTCATCAATAAGAAAAATTGCCAGTCTAATGCTTTACATTTGTGTGTGTATGAAGCTTTTGACCATGGTGTGCATTTTATGCTTACAGTGCTGGTCACATTTCAAGTGCTCAAAGGCCCCTGGGGCTTGTGGCTGCTATTTTGGATCTCACAGCTCTAGATGTGCTCTAGGGGGTCACTGGATGTCTGCAGCTGCTCTGAGCAACACATCACCACACAAGTGTGTTCATGGGACTCAGAGCTGGGCATTGGGTGGTCTCTCCTCAAATTTTTCTTGCTTCTCAAGCAAGCCTGCTCTCCCTGATTTCCCCAGTGGACAGCCACTTGGTCATATGGTCAACCTTGGCTGGAATAGAGCCTGGCTCTTTCATCCTCTTTAGAAGGAGGTGAGCAAGGCAAAGGGTAATTGGGGAAGTTTCAGGGCAGCAAACAGCTGAACTTGCCTCTTTGTAGGTAGTAAATACCATGCTCCCTGGTGCTGGTGTCTCATGGAACTAGATCTACCGCTCAGCCCATGCATAACCTCAGAACCCTTCTCAACATCAGGTTGCAAGCAGTGATGGTCTATGATTGTTGGTGTAAGTGACCTATTTGAGCACTAGATTGTAAACTCCTTGAGAGCAGAGCTGCTTCTGTTTTCTTTCTGTGGCACCTGCAGTAGTGATGGAGCTCAGTCATATTCAACATGCTGTAAATTGCATCCCCATGACTTACTTATTTTATAACTGGAAGTTTGTAATGTTTGACCACGTTAACCACTTCACACCCCCACCCACCCACTCACCCACACCCTGTCTCTGGCAACTATCTATCTGTTTTTTCATAGATAGCTTGTTTGCTAGATTCCACACATAAGTGATATATGGAGATAATGTATTTGTCTTTCTCTGACTTATTTCACCTAGCATAATGCCCTTAAGGTCAATCCATGTTGTTGCAAATGATAAGATTTTATTCTTTTTTTGTGACTGAATAGTATTCCATTTTATATGCACACATATGTATCACACACAAATTTATATCACTTTTTTATCTATGTATCCATACCCGTGGTTATTTCCATATCTTGTCTATTGTAAAGAATGCTGCAAGAACATGGGGTATATATATCTCTTTGAATTAGTGTTTTTGTTTTCTATAGTGAAATACCCAGAAGTGGAATTACAGTTCATTTGATAGACCTACTTTTAATTTTTTGAGGAACTTCCACGCTGTTTTCCAGAGTGGGTGTGCCAGCTTACATTCCACCAACTGGGCCCAAGTGCTCCCTTTTCTCTACCTCCTCACCCACATTGGTTATTACTTATCTTTATGGTGATAGCCACTCTAATAGGTGTCAGGTGTTATCTCCTTGTGTTTTTTTTTAAAAAGATTTATTCATTTATGTATACAAGAACTGGGGTACAGGCCAGAGGTGCGGGGGTTGGTGAGAGCATTCACCAGAGACAGAGTGGGGAGCAGAACAGGCTGACTGACCAAAAATATGGACCACTTCACGAATTTACATGTCATCCTTGCACAGGGGCCATGCTAATCTCTGTATCGTTCCAATTTTAGTATATGTGCTGCCAAAGCAAACACTCCTTGTGGTTTTGATTTGCATTTCTCTGATGATTAGTGGTGTTGGAGATCTTTTCATGTACCTGTTAACCATTTGTATGCCTTTGGAAAAATGTCTGTCCAGATCCTTGGCTCATTTTTAAATTGGATTGCTGGTTCTTTTTGCTGTTAACTTGTTTGATTTCTTTATATAATTTGGATATTAAGTTCCTATCAGATGTATGGTTTGCAAATCTTTTCTCCCAGTCAGTAGTACATTGCCTTACACACTGCATAATGTGCTGTCTGGCTAATGAATCATAATTTATTTGAGCATTTTTCATGTCTTAGAGCAGTTGCTTCAAGTTTTTCAGTTATAATTAACCCTATGTGGGTAAAGTGTTAGTAAAACCTTTTCCTAAAATCTTTTCCTTGTCTGCATAAGAAATTGACCTTTTGTTAACTTTCTAGCTATTTCCTTTGAGACTTAATATAATGGGATGTCCTCAGAGTTATTAGGCAACATTGTTTAAGCAAAAATTGCTTTGCTTGGGAAGCTGTTTCTCAAGTTGGAAAAGTAAATAATTGCTTGCAAGTTACAGTTAGGGCTTCCTTGCATATAATGACTTCGTGGTATTTACTCTTACTTGGAGTTGTTACAAGAGATAGTCCTGTGGAGCATGAGATTTCGAAGCCAGGGTGATTCCTGCATCTGTATGATGTGGTTTTCATTGCCTTGCACTTGAGCTCTAACTTGGGAGGTAGGCAGAAGGCAGGGAGGCAAAAAGACCCTCTCTTGGACAGCTGTGTGAACTGCTTTATAGACCACTAGGTGGTTTCCCATTGAAGAGGCAGCCATTGTGCCAATAGACTGTGTTCCTTTATAGGGCCAAGGTATGGTCCAAGGTACTCTTCAAAGTTTGAATGTTTAGTGTGTCTAAGACCATTGGTTGGGGTTATTTGCTTATATTTAGGGTTATTTGCTTAGGAGAGCTTCACAGAAGTAGAATAAATGATTGAAAGGTGATGGGCATTTTCAAGCTCCTAAATACTTCCTTAAAGTCAAGTTGATTTCCAAAGGGTTGTACCACGCACTCCCACCAGCTGTGCAATGAAACAGGCCTTTTCAGGTACTAACTGCTCTCTCTACTCCTCCAGGTCTACGAGGCCCTTCTCCCACAGTATGCCAAGCTGGAACAGAGAATCCTGTCTCAGACCCAGGGGCCTCAAAAGTGAATTCCACAGGTCCAGGTGCCCCTGTTGACCTGGACCACCCAGACTTACTGATCCCACTTGGGAATGTGGTGTTGGACAGAGGGAGCCTCTTCCCTGTTTCAAGCGGCACCCCCTGCCTATGCTGAATTATGGGGGTTCTCCAACCATGGCTAGGCCCACCCTGAAATCTGCCTTCACATTTTCCTAAACAAAGACAGGCAGCTTGTGCCTTGTTCCCTCTGCCCAGGACAGGAAAGCATCTCTCTTATCCTGTCTTTTATCCAAGGAGGCAGGGTACTGCTGAATCAGGGTATAGCCAATATAAATGTGAGTTTTCCCTTTCAAATAAAGTAGTAAAGCTGATCAGCAGAATGGAGGAGGCAGAGTCCTCCCTTACCCCCTGAGAAGTGATATAAAAGTACTGGAGTGGAAAAATAACTTTCTCATCTCCATCCCTTTAAGTCAATATTATCAAATTATTTATAATTTATTTAGTATGTATTATAATAGCTACAAATCATAAAATTATAGAACACCAGATTAATTCATGTCAGAAGAAAATCCCAAATAAAATATCAGTAACAGAAACCAATAGGGCATAGAGGATGTTCTATCATCACAAGTGCAGTTTATGCCCAAGTGGTTCAGTATTAGGAAATTAATAAATATAATTCTTCATTTTAATAAATCTAGGAAGACAAGCAATTTGATTACAGCTGATGAAAAGTCCTTTGACAAAATTCAACACTCATTCTTGATTTAAAAAAATGCTAAAAACCAGTACTTGCTTAATAAGGAGGCATTGGAGCCTTTCCTGAGTAAGTCAGGAAGTCCACCATCTATACCGCCATTTAATTGTGTATTAAATGAGGCAGCCAGTGCAGTCAGACCAGAAAGAATCAAGGCATAGGAAGAAAAGGAAGAGATATAGTAAGAGAATCAATACTAAATCTAATGCAAATAAGAAAATTGAGTAAAGTGACAGGTTGTAAAGTTTTAATATAAAGAGTAGCATTCTTATGTACAATCAATAAAAATTATAGGTAGTGAAGGACAAGAGCTAATTTACAATAGCAACACAAATTTAAAATACAGTGCTATCAAGCTATCACCACTGTGACCTGAGCTTGATCCCCGGCCAGGGAGCTACCCACATGGCAGAGCAGACCTCTCCTGTCTTACCTGCTGCTCCGCTCAGCAGTGTATTTCAGTCGATCTGTCTGTTCTGCTCCCCACTCTGTCTCTGGTAAATCCTTTCACCCTCCCTCACCCCTGGCCTACACTGCTCTTGTATGCATAAATAAATAAAATAAATCTTTAAAAAATACTTAGAAAATGGAGTTAACATTTGGGGGAAAAAATTAAAAACATTCCTGAGAGGTTTAAATAAATTGGAGCAAAGGATTACTCAGAATCATGAAGGATTAATGTGTTCCAAATAAAAATACCAGTCTTTTGTGGAGGAAGGTTCCTGAAGCCAGACTAGGGGATTCAAACATGTATTTAGAAAAGCACATAATCAGAAGCAGCTGGGAAAACTCAGAAAAAGAAGTTCAATAAAGGTACACTAGCTCTGTCAGATAGTAAAACATTATAAAGCATCCTTTAAAAAATGTAATTGTTCAGGAATAGATCAATAGGACAGAATGATAAGTTCAAAAATAAACAATTACATATAGACAGACATGTACGAGAAAAATGCTCGTTCAAAACACAGTAAAAGGGCCTCCCCGGTGGCGCAGCGGTTGAGCGCTGGGTTGCGAAGCTGCCCGCGGCCTCTGCGGCGCCGGTTCGATCCCCGGCTGCTCCCCGGCCACCAGAGGAGGGTCCCACATGGCGCGCAGACCTCTCCTGCCGCCCGCTGCTCCCCTCAGCAGTGTACTTCGGTCCTTCTGCCTGCTCTGCTCCCCGCTCTGGCTCTGGTGAATTCTCTCACCCTCCTGCGCTTCTGACTGTACCCAGTGCATGTATAAACAAAAAAACAAACAAACAAACCAGCAAACAAATAAATAAAGCATGCCTCTATAAAAAAAAAATAATAAAAAAAATAAACTATAAAAAAAAAAAAAAAAAAAAAAAAAAAACACAGTAAAAAATGCAGACTTTTTAAATACATAATGTGAAAACTGGATAACCACACGGGAAAATATAGAATGAGAATCATGCCTCATATCAATACCAGAATAAACTCCAAAAGGATCAGAAATCTAAATAAAAAAGTAGGGTCTCCCCTGGTGGCTTAGCGGTTGAGCGCTGGGCTTCGAAGCTGGCCGCAGCCTCTGCAGTGCTGGTTTGATCCCCGGTGGCCCCCGGCGAGGGTCCCACATGGTTCGGCAGACCTCTCCTGCTGTCCGCTGCTCCCCTCAGCAGTGTATTTTGCCACTCTGCCTGTTCTGTTCTCTGCTCTGGCTCTGGTGAATTCTCTCACCCTCCTGCGTTTCTGACTGTACCCAGTGCTTGTATAAATAAATAAATAAATCTTAAAAAAAAAAAAAAAAGTAAAACCATAGATGTCCCAAAGGAAAACATGAATGAATTCATTTATAATCTGAGAGTGGGAAAAGTCTCTCATCTCGAAACCCAGAAGCCCAAATCATAAAGATTTATATATTTGACTACATAAAAATTAATTTTTTGTCATAGCAAAAAAAAAAAAAATCGGGAGGAAGGTTAAAAAAATCAAGTGATAGAAAATATCTGCAGTTTACATCAAAGACAAAGAGCTAATTTATATTTTTTAAAAAGCTCTTGGAAACTCCTAATTTATTAAAAAAAAAAAACACAGAAATCTAAATGAAGGTCAGAAGCCCAATAGAAAAATCATCAGTAACAAATGATGGACAGTTAGAAAAAAATGCAGTTACTTTTCAAGCATATTTTTAAATGTTTAACCTCATTCACAATTCCACCTCTCATCTACCAAATTGACAAATAGTCAGAAGTTTGATAAAATGTCATGTCACCTAGACAGTGAGGCTGACAGGGGTGCAACCTGTCCCCTCTCTGGAGGGGAATTTGGCAACATCAAACTAAAAGTGATCTAACAGTTCCACTAGGAATCTGCATAAAGACACACCTAACATACAGACAAGGTTGTTTATTGTGAAAATTTTTTTTTAAGATTTATTTTTCATTTCTGCAATAACTAGTGTACAGGCCAGAGGTGCGGGAGGGTGAGAGGATTCACCAGAGACAGTGCGGGGAGCAGAACAGGCGGACAGACCAAAAGCACTGCTGAGGGGAGCAGTGGGTGAGGCAGGAGAGGTCTGCTGTGCCATGTGGGAATCTCCCTGGGGGGCCAGGAATCAAACCTGCACTACAGAGGCTGCGGATTCACAGCGCTGCGCTCAAACGGCTGCTCCACCGGGGAGGACCCTGTTGTGAAATTATTAATAGTAACAAAATATGTGGAAAAAAATCACATTAGCATAGGACCATGTGAATAGCAATAAAAAGAACAAGGAATTTCTCTATATACCAAGTGAAGTGAATCTACTTACATGGGACAGTTCTCTATTTAGTTCCTCTAAACAAAGTGTTAGCATTTTAGTGTACATGTCTTACACATATTTTGTTCAATTCATCCCTAGTTATTTGAGTACTTTTTTTTTTTTTTTTTTTTTTGCTGTGGCAAAATTTATCTGTAGCAGAATTTACCACGTAAGCCATTTTAAAATGTATAATGAGGGCCTCCCCGGTGGCACAGCGGTTGAGTGCCGGGTTGTGAAGGTGCCCGCAGCCTCTGCAGCACCGGATCGATCCCCAGCTGCTCCTGCCCGCTGCTCCCCTCAGCAATGTACTTCAGTCCTTCTGCCTGTTCTGGTTCCCCACTCTGGCTCTGGTGAATTCTCTCACCCTCCCATGCTTCTGACTATACCCAGTGCTTGTATAAATAAAGAAATAAATCTTTAAAAATAAATAAATATCTCCTCACCTTTAAATAAAATAAAATAAAATAAAATAAATAAAATGTATAATGATGTGTGGCATAAAGTATGGCCACCGTGCTGGGCCATAGCATATGCAGAAGTTTCTTAACATCCTCAGCCAAAACTGATCATTAAACCAAGGTTCCCATCCCCTTTGCCACCAGTCCCTGATAACCACCATTCCATTTTCTGTGTCTATGAATTTACTTTTTCTAGGTGCCTCATGTAAGGGGGATTTTACAACATGTGCCCTCCTGAGTCTGCTTTATTACGTTTAGCATAATATTGTGAAGGTTCATCCTTGTTGGAGAAAAGCTGAATACTGCTCCATTGTATGAACACACCATACTTTATCTGTCTTTCCAGTGATGGTCATTTGAGTTGCTCCCACCTTTTGAATATTGTGAATGCTGCTGCTATGTATATTAATGTATGAGCATCTATTTGAGTTCCTGCTTTCAGTTCTTTTGGGTGTATACCCAGAAGTGGAATTGTTGGATCATTTGGTAATTTTATGTTTAACTTCTTGAGAAATCAAAATATTATTTTCTATAGCAAATGCTCTATTCTACGTTCCTACTAATAATACATACAATCCAGTTTCTCCATATCTTTGTCATCTCTTGTTATTTCCTACTTTGGTTTTATGTTTTTGATAATAGCCATACTAAGTGGCATCTCATTGTTTTTATTTGTATTTCCCCAATGACTGATGATGTTGAGCATCTTTTCATCTGTTGATTGACCATTTGAATATACTAAATGTTTTCTACTGCTGATGTAAAGGTAGTTGATTATTTTTCACTTTTCAGTTATTTATTGCTAGCTTATAGAAATACTCTGTGGTACCATTGCTAGCATGGAGGAATTTTTTGTTTGATCTGGTATCTTGTAACCTTAAGCTGTTATACTTTTGTCATTATCATTTGTGAAAAACAGACTGTTTTGCTTCTTCATGTTCAATTCTTATTTCTTTCTCTTGCCTCAGTGGCTTGGATGTCCAGCATCATGTTGAATAGAAGCAGGAAGAGCACTGGGGAGAAGGGATTTGGTTATCAAGGTTCCTGCTTTCACAGAATTATCTCAGGATTTGTGTCCAGTATGGTGACTTTATATGCCATATTGGCACTGGCAGCATATCCATCTATGGGGGAAATGTGATAATAACAATTTCATCCCGGGCCTCCCTGGTGGCGCAAGGGTTGAGACGCAAACTATGAAGCTGTCCGCAGCCTCTGCAGCATGAGTTCGATCCCCAGCTGGCCAGGGAGCTACCCACATGGCGTAGCAGACCTCTCCTGACTCGCCCGCTGCTCCCCTCAGCAGTGTACTTTGGTCAATCTGCCTGTTCCGTTCCCCACTCTGTCTCTGGTGAATCCTCTCACTCCCTGCTTCTCTGGCCTGTACCCTAGCTCTTGTATGCATAAATAAATAAATCTTTTTAAAAAAACAAAACAATTTCATCCTGAAGCATGCAGGTCCCTGTTGCAGGGGGAGGTGCAGCAGGTCCCAGAGTCTTGTCAAGAGCAAATGCTGGACCCCAGCACAAATGGTTCCCAGATTTCATCTGCACAGCCAAGACTAAGTGGTTGCATGGAAAGCATGTGGTCTTTGGCATGGCAAAGGAGAGCATGGATATTGTGGAAGCCAAGAAGGCTTTGGGTCCAGGAATGGCCAGACCAGCAAGAAGATCATCGTTAATGACTGTGGACAAATCTAATGAAATTTGACTTGTGTTTTATCTTAGCCACCAGACATTCCTTCTCTATCAGTAGAGCAACCCTTCATCCCTATATGCTCAAAATATCCTATAATCCTTATGCTTTCCCTACAGTTCTTTGGGTTCCATATTTTCCTTATTCCCACCGAAGTCTAGCTGGATTGCAGTTAAGTTTCTGATTATGAAATAAACAATATACAATTATTTGTCCTTAAAAAAATTTTATCATCTCTGAATCATTACTGTTTATTGTTACTGATTTTTCTACAAAGTAAGGGTCACATTTTCTTGCTTCTCATGTCTAGTATTTTTCAAATTAGATGTTGGGCATTGTAAATTTTTTATTGTAGAGTGCCGGATTTATTGAATTCCTTTCAAGAGTGTTAGACTTTTGTCTAATAGATAGTTAAATTACTGGTGAATCAGCCTGCTCATTTCAAGGCTTGGTGTTGTGGATTTAGCCTTTATTCTAGGACTGATTTAGCTCCACTGCCATTGAATGACCCTCTGAGTCTCCATTCTCACTGTCAATGAGGACTTTCTTTTCTGGCTGGTTAGAATGAAGCCCTTCCCTATCCTAGCTGAGTTCTTAGGGCTGTTCAGCTTATAGCTCTTCTGCCTTTCTTTCCTTCACCCATGGAGTTTCATTATATGTATGTGAAGTTTAGAATTCAGCAAAAGCTCCAAGGAGATGCCTCTGCAGATCTCCAGCTTTCTCTATGCAGCAGCTCCCTCCCCCTGGTACTCTGCCTTAAATTTGCTGCAGTATTCCTCATCTCCAATTTCTCTCTGTCAACTCTTCAAGGTTGCCAGTCTCTGCTCGGGATACCCTCCCTGAATGTGGACTGTAATTCGTCACCAGGTAGAACGTCAAAGCAATGAAAAGATTCACTACATTTTTTCCTCTTTTCTCAGGATATACAGCATTATTCAATGTCCTAAACTAGATGCCTCCTGTATTTTGTCCGGTTTTCTTCTTGTTCTGGCAGAAGGGCAAAAATCATTCTAGTTACTGCATGATGTCTGGAAGTATCTTATTCCACTTATTTTTGTTCCACTTCTGGTACTTTCTCCTCAAGGTAAGAATCTGACATAAAGGGAGGCCTGGCTGGCCAATTTTCAGAGTTCACGAGAACATACTGTCCTCTTTCTCTTCCTACCAGAGTCTCCTTGCAGTCATGCTTTTCAAGAACATCTCCGAGCTATTTCAGGGTTCTATTGTTCTCTGGTGCCTCATCCACCTGTTACATTACTCCCCTTGCACAGATGCTAGTCCACAAAGCTTTTATTTCTGTTGGTAATTTGTAGTTTGTCTCTCTTTGCTTGTATTTTAGGGAAAACCTTATCACCTAGCTTTATTGTAAATGTACATGGATTTTCTTTCCTTTTTTCCCCATGTAATTGTTCTGTGTTTTGATGCGGGGATTTTGGAAGATTAAAAAACTGTGCAGCTACCAAATTTGCCACCACTTTCCCAGAATCTGGTAGGAGAGCCCACATGTCATTCTCCAGGTCACCCCCTTATAGTAGCAAAATATGCATCAAAATGTAGCCTCCATTAGCCCTTGTCCGTGGGTTCATCTATCTTGCTTGATGACTCACATGGCATGAAGCATGAATGAGAAATAAATTTTGTTGTTTAAGCTATTGAGGTTTTGGGATTTCCCATTAGCGCAGCATAACCTAATCTATTTTGAGAGAGAATATTACTTTTCCATTTAGGCCAGTCCATTTAGTTGACCTTAAGGTAATCGCTATTAAGAGAAAGGGTGGGAGAAGAAGTATGGGGGAAAGGTAGAAAAGAAATAAGATAAGTGAATAAAATAGCTAGGAAATAACCTTTTGTGTCGATGGCACATTGGACAGTTTGGAAACAATAAATGTACTAAGTTTTGGGGGTTTGTATTGCCAAAGAAGCTATGCATATATACCTCTGCATTATGCTGTGTGAATGGTACCTCCTTAATATTGTTTAATATTCTACTGCTATACCTAAATGACCTAATTGCCAGCTATATCTCTCATAATGCCCTCACCACAGTACACCTCTAATCAAGGTCTTTCAAAAGCTGAGAGAGGGGCACCACTGTTTTTTTTTTTTTTTTGAAAAGGTATCCAAATAAAATAAAAAAAAAAACGCAAAAACAACAGTGGTAACTTTACAAGTTGCTAAATTAATGCATGTGACTCCCACAACAGAATGCATTATAATTATACAGGTACCAAGTCATAGTGCTTATAGTTTTCCTCCTCTTCCATTAGCTTGACACTGAAGCTCAGTTGTTTCTCCTCAATTCCTTGGCTTCTAATCGTGATCATAGAGGAGGATGGAGACCAGCAGAAGAGTGGCCATAACTCACAGAATGCCTGAATGGCGAACTTGTGTCAAAAGTTCTATATTGGACATTTGTTGGGTTTTTGCCTTTCTGCTTCTCATCATACCCTGTCTGATATCAAATGCACAATTTAGTACTTTTGTAGTTCAGAATAGAAAAAACAAGCCAAATTTGCTTCTCAGACATCACCGTCACCTTTATCCACCAACCTATTATTTGCTCAATGGGCTCATGAACAAAATGGTAGCAGAGCTAGAGGCTGTCCCTCTACAACATGTATCTCAGCTCTCCAGGAGAATCTCTGGGGAAGAGTATTACCACAATGTGGATGGGGTGGGGGCACTGGAGCACTAGGGCAGAAGCAACCTTAACACATCTGAGGAAGAGAAAGCAAGCCAGTATGTCTGACTAATAATGGTGAAGTGGTAGAGGAAGAGGGGGCTGATCATGTAGCGTTTTGTCAGCCATCATAGAAGGTTATGAAATTCTTAGGAAGTTATGAGAGGATCTCAAGCAAGGGAGTAATGTGATAAGAGTTTCATTTTAAGAGACCGTTTCAATTGCCTCATGCAAACAGGTGATCAGTTAATATCTCTTTCAGTTCACTGCTGTTAGTGTGGTCCAGTCGCCAGATGTTGGGTGATGGACATAGGTCTAGAAAACAGAGACTGAATGGCGGATAGGGTTTTGAAACCTATTGCTAATGGACTAAATATGGGAGGAAACAAGAATGACTCAAACATTTTTTATTTGAACAATTGTTTGGTTGTTTATGCCATTAATTTGGATAGGGAACACTGGGGAAAGAGAAGATTTATGGGGAAAACAAGGAATTCTCTTTGGGTAGGTCAAGCTCGAGATTTCTGACTGGCTGCCAAATAAAATGTCACGTAGGCCATTGAATATACCGATTTAGAGTTTCCAGAGATTTCGGAATGGAAGACACAGATGTGTCAGTAATTCAGACTAGCCAAGCCTTTACTGTGATATCCAACTTGGTGTGAAGAAGAGAGGAACCAGCCATTCTAATCGTCAGTCTATGCATTATAGTCCATACCTTCTAGTCTGGAGGAAGTAGTGATTTATCCTTCCTACTAAAGACACTTACTCTGGATTTGGAGTCGCTTCCCCTGCTATTGTGTGTCTGTCAATACAGCCTTCTGTGGGAATACCAACCATCTCATACACAGTCAGAGCCTCCCAAGCTACACTTGCTTTGCACATAGTAGACTTCAATGTTAAGAAGTCTATATAATGGGTCCCCTGTAGGGTTGTGGCCAGAAGGAGGTCATTATTTTTGACATGGAATTTTCTAGAACTGGGAACCTTGGGAGACCCAACAATCTTTCTGAGTTGTGACTCCAAAGTGTGGTCCTTGAGGTTTCCCGATACTTTGGAAACACTAGGTGATGTCATTTTATTTCAGCTTCAACCAAGGCCAATATGTGTTCTGTGTGTTGACTTTTACCTAAGATTGTGTTTAGTCACGAAATCTCTGTAAGAGGAGACTGACGTTCAGAGAAGTGAAATAACTCAGATTACCCGGCACCACCTCCCTCCTGGCTGCTGCTTGCCCTGCTCCAAGCACAGCTGTGGCAAGTCAGGAGACGCCAAGGCCAATCTCGGTATCCGAGGGTCCCATACCTCATCCCTGACCGGTGACAGGCTTTCCCTCTTTAGCTGGAGCCCCAGCAGGACCCTCTTAAGCTCGAGTACTGTAATAAGGAGAGTGGACTCCAAAAGAGGCCACCTAAGGGAGAGGCTGGGGTGGGGTGGGGGGACAGGTAAAGAGGACAGCTGAGCCATTCACTAAAGACAAAATCTGTAACTGGGGGGGTCTAGGGGCGCGGCGGGTGGGAGTGACGAGAACCACTTACAGTAAGGGTGGGGGAAGCAGGCCCTGCAGTTGCTTTGTGGTGCGGGGCTCTGTGCCCCCCTCACCTGTAGGGATCCAAGTCTAGGATCCCTATTTACACCTTTGAGCATGTGTGTGTGTGTGTGTGTGTGTGTGTGTAGGGGGGCACCTGTCATTTCAGATGTCAATATTTTACTGACGATCTGTTCGCCCATCCACAGACATGATTCCCACTGTGACCCCCATTTCATAGGTGGGGAAACGAGGGCGCGGAGGGGAATTCAGACCAGAGTCCGGGGGTCTCACTTACTCCAGGGTTGCGGGGCAGAGTGCGCTCGGTGTGGAAGCTCCACAGAGGGGCGCCAGACTCTCGGGTGCGGTGGCCATGGTGGGGTCCCGGGGTTCCAGGGCCAAGTGGCCCGGGACCGAACCCCGCTACCCCTGCAGCGCCCTCAGCCTCGCCCTCGAGTCGGGGGGTGGCGCGCGTCCTCCAGGAGGGCGCGGGCTGGGGGCGGAGCCTCCTTGTTGTTGTTTCTCCGGGCCCCGCCCCCGAGGGGGCGCGGACCACGCGGTCGGAGGGCCCGCCTCCCCTCCCCCTCCCCGCCCTCCTCGCCCGCCTCTTTGTATCCTACATCCGGGTTTCCCCGCTGGCTCGGCTCCGCGGCCCCGGCTCAGGAGCCATTTTGGACTCGGTTCAGCTCCCCTCCCCCCACCCCTCCCCCCGTTCATGGCCCCTCCGGACTCGGCCCCTGCGCCCGGGGCCCGGGCCCAGCCCCGCCGCGATATGCTTGAGTCGGGCGCGCCCCGGCCCGCGCCCCGCCGCCGCCCCCGGCCCCCACGTCGCCCCGGAGCCCGGGCCGCAGCCTGCGTCGCCCGCAGCGGCCCTGAGCCCGGCCCCGCTGCCCGGCCCTCGGAACCCGCACGGTACCCGGGACGAAGGCGCGAGGAGCGCGCGGGCGCCGAGACCGAAGGAAGGAGCGGGAAGGAGAGCGCAGCCGCCGCCGGGCCCTGCGCGCCCCGGGAGCGCCGCGCGGCCCTGCCCGCGGGCTCCGGGTGTCCGCGGGGCGGCGCCGCGGAACATGACGGCGCCCTGGGCGGCCCTCGCCCTCCTCTGGGGATCGCTGTGCGCGGGTAAGGACGGGGCGCGGCTTGGGGGTGCGGGGAGGGCGCGCGGGGCCGGCCTCGGGAGCCGCGCGGTGTTTACCAACAAAGGGCGGGCCCGCGGCCTCCCAGCCTGGCCACCTGCACCCAGCGGGCACCTCCCGGGGCGGGGAATTGGGGGCGCGCGGACAGCCCCGCTCGCTCATCTTGGGGAAACAATTTGTGCGGCGGTCTGCCGGGCTCCGCCTCGCGGAGTCGAGCCCACGGAGGGGGCCGGGACCCGAGAGCCCGAGGTCGGGGTTCAGGCCCCCCCAGTGCGTGGCGCGCGGGGAGAGCGAGAACACCCGAGAGAGGGGAAGGCGGCCCAGCGAGGCGGGCAGGTCTAATTCGGGGCTGGCGAGACCGTGGCGGGGGAGGGGCCGCGCAGCGCCCGGGTCCACTAGGTCTCTTGAAGCGAAGGCGCAGTTTCACACGGCTCCGGGCACTTCGCACTTTATCGCCCCCGGGTCCGAGTCGTGTTTCCTCGCGCCGCTGGCCTGGCGCCGGCTCCCCCCTGAGTCCGCTGGCCCTGCCGCGGGCCCCGGATGCGCGCTGCGGGCATCTGGCGGGACAGCTTTGTGTGGGGCGCCTGGAAGGACAGGTGGATCGGGTAGAAAAACCAACAGGTTCCTGCACCTTCTGGTCTCCAGGAAGCACGTGGCGGGGGTGGGTGACCCCGCGGGGCCAGCGTTCGGATCGCGCGCGTGCGGCTGAGGGTGTGTGGGTGCGAGTGTCTACACGTGGAGCTCTCGGGGAAGGCGCTTCTCCCTAGGGCCGAAGCACCGATTTCCAGAGGTGCTAGGATGCGCCGGGCTCGGGCGTGCGCGTAGGGACGCGCGCCGCGTTGGGGTTCGCATGGCCCCGGGAAGCCCTGCGAGGTGTGGGGAGTCGTGCGGTGAAGCTCCGGGGGGAAGCCCGGGACGGTCGGGGCTCCGGGTCCTGCGAGTCTTTGTTCCCAGCCCCCATTACACATGCAGCGCGGGTCCCCTGCTGCCCGCGGTGGCAGCAGCGCGGAGTCTGGGAAACCCGCGGAGGGCGGGGCTGGGCGTGCAGGGGCGGGGCTGGGATCCCCTGGCTGCTGCGGGGTGGGGTTGGGGCTCTTCATCCCGTCCTTGCCCCCATTCCACCCTCCTCCTTTGCAATGCGACTTCGCTGTCTATCCCCAAGATAAGCGGATTTTCCCTGTGGGTTTGCGTAGTCTGTGTTGAGGGACTGGAGGACAGAGACCCCTTCGTTGGAACCTAAGCGCTCAATGGGAGGGAACATCTCTTTTAGAGCCACGGTTCTCTTTGAGTCATTTCTTGTGTGGTAGAGGCAAAGTGGTGGTCTTATTGAACTTGTTCCTCTTACTTTACAGTGCTGCGCTGAGATACTTTTCCCCAAGAGCGAGAGCTCTGAAGTGAAAGGAAAGCATTGGCCGCAGCAAGTCAACTTAATTAGTAGGCACGCAGCAGTTCACCTGGCTGTTTCTAGACCCCACTCCGATGTACCCGAGGTGCTTCAAGTCCAGACCTGCAGAAAGGGCCGAGTCCCAGGACAGGGCAGCCTTAGGCTAGGACCTGGAATCCCTCTCTCTAATTTTTCTCAATCTAGCCTCACTACTTTCACTTTCCTCCCTGGTTAGAAGTGGCAGGGTGGGATTGTGCCTTGGAAGGACTGTATTTCTCTCCTTCTCCCTCTGTCTCTCCCCTCCTGGGCTGGGGAGTGCCTGGTATACTCTGCAAGGTGGAACAGCTGGAGTTAGATTAGAATCCATGACCTGTTTCCTCTCTGGGAGGAAGGCGGCAAAGTGGTGTCCCTGGGTGTTTCCCGTGGTCACACCAGCCAGTCTCTCAGTCACTGCTCTGACCCCTGAAGAAATAGGGAAGAGCTGTCCTCAGGCTTAGGTGGGAACAGAACTGACCTTCCTGTGCCTTTGAATTCCTAGATGCCTTTCCTTCAAGCTCCTGGCTGCCGTTAAGAATGACCCTGCGGCACACAGTGCTCCTGCACTGGAAGGTCTCGAGCAGCGCTGTCCAGCGGAAACAGAGTGTGAAGCATATGCATAACTTAGAATTTCCTGGTAGTCATGTTAATAAAGGGAAAAAGAAACAGGTATATCTTAGTCTTCCTGGGCTGCCATAACAAAATACTGTAGACTGGGTAACTTAAACATCAGAATTTATTTTCTCACAGTTCTGGAGACTGGAAGCATTGGTCAGCATGCCACCAGGGTAGGGACCTGGTGAGGGCCTGCTTGCTGGCTTGCAGATGGACGCCTTCTTACCGTGTCCTCACGTGGCCTTTCCTCCTGCTCTCTTCCTATCTCACTACCCTATCAAGAGGGCCCCATCCTCATTACCTACTCTGGTTACCTCCCAGAGACTCCATCACCAAATACCATCCTGTTGGGCACTGGATCTTCACCATATGAATGGTGGGCGGGGGTGGGGGGTTAATAGGCTTTCAGTTCATAACAAGTAAAGTTAGTTTTAATGTTATTTTTCATTTAAACTACTATAGGCAAAATAATTATTTCAGCATATCATTGCTACCAAAACATTTTTTATACTATCTTCAAAATCCTGTATATGTTTTTATACTTAGAACATTGCAATTCAAATTTCTATGTTTTCCATCAGTGAACTGTGGTCACATTTGCCTAGTGGCTACCAGATTGGATGGTGTAGACCTAGAAGAAAAGCCAGAACTCAATGCTGTAATAAAGACACACGATTCTTGCTACAAGATCAGTGTTCAGTTAGTTCACAAGTCTTGTATTTTGTCTGGCCTAGTGTCCTTGGGAAACAAATCATTTAGCTCTTGTGTTATAGTGGATATCCCAGACACCTCTCTTGTGTATCCCATAAGAGTGCCTGGCATTTGTCTTTGTACTGGGGTTCAGGGTAGGGAGTGTTCTGAGTGGAATGTCAGGAGCCACTGGTTGGGAGGAGGGACCTGGCTCTTGATAGTCCCACCAAGAAAGGCAGGCCTGACTCTCTCAGGCTGTCCTAGGTTGACTATTCTTTAACCCACGCATAGTGTCCAGGAGCAATGTGTGTGTAATGAGCACAGTGACTCTGTCCCTGTGTGGTGGTGGCTGTCAGGGTCACGGGCCACAGAGTCAGGATTGCTACCCCTCAGGGAAGGATTTTCTGTACTGACTGACCTTGTTCCTGCTGGGCACACCCTGTCTGGCTGACTATCCTGCCCTCTGGGAGTAGCGAGCATTCTCCCCAACTCTTAAAGACTTTTCCAAAGTGCATGGGTGAGATAGTTGCCTGTCCTCCCAGGCCCTACATCTGGGGGAAAACTTTAGATCTGGAACCCTTGGCCTTTCACAGCTTGTATGGCCCTCTATGTTGTAATACTTTGCCAGGTCTTTCTGGACCTTGGGAATCCCCAATAGCACCTGGACTGTCTCTGGCCTTCTAAGGACCTGCCTTTGCAGTAGCCCAGTGAACAGCCTTTGTCCTGCACTATGGTCCCCTGTGTAATGGGTGCTTCTGAGAATCTGATGAAAGCTGTGGCCTGTTCTTCTAAGAAAATACAAATATGAGCATGTGTGTTAGTGTGTACACAAATTGTGCATGCTGTGCATGCATACCTGCTGTTTTCCTGATACCAGGAACCTGTGGTCCCTTGGGTTGGACTCGAGAAGTCTTGCACCTACTCATTGTACCAGTCCTGAGGAGCAGTTTGTTGTCCTTGGGGGTGTACTGTGCTTGTTCCCACCTCACTGCCTCTGCTTACCCTCTTATAGCCACTGGACATAATTCATTTTTTAAAGTCTGCTTTTTGTGACCGAGCCCTGGTCTCCTCCTCTATCTAGGAAGCCCTCCCCATACCGCTTGTGCAGTCAGCTTGTTCCTGGGAGCTCAGGGTCGTGCAAGTGGGACTAAGGGGCATCATTCAGATCAGAGTTAAGATCTACTTTCAGATACTGACCGCCTACCAAAGAGTGGGATCTGGGACCCTGCAGGGAACTGGTCTGGGTAATAAATTTGAGAATGACTCTAGATGGACAGACCTCAGGCAGGGTGCTCACGGGTGCACCTGATTCTAGCACATGGTTTCTTAGCCTTGACCCTATTGACTATTTGGATTCTTTGTCATGTATGTGGATGCACAGTGTAGGTGGGTGCCAGTAGCGTGGGGAAATCTGTCTCGTGTGTCATAGGATGTTTAGCAGCATCCCTGGCCTTGACCCACTAAATGCTAGTAGCACTTATAATTGTGACAACCGAAAATGTCTCTAGACATGGCAAATGTCCTGGCCAGATCTAGAATGTTCTTGCGCTTTTAAAGAGACAAGACAGGGGCCTCCCCAGTGGCGCAGCGGTTGAGCGCTGGGTTGCGAAGCTGCCCGCAGCCTCTGCAGCGCCGGTTCGATCCCCGGCTGCTCCCCGGAGGGTCCCACATGGTGCTCAGACCTCTCCTGCCGCCCGCTGCTCCCCTCAGCAGTGTACTTTGGTCCTTCTGCCTGCTCTGCTCCCCACTCTGGCTCTGGTGAATTCTCTCACCCTCCCGCACTTCTGACTGTACCCAGTGCATGTATAAATAAATAAAATAAATCTTAAAAAAAAATAAAGAGACAGACAGTTGTGGTAGGTGGAGTCAAAGGCTGATGCCTGTGCATTCCACTCCCCCCGCCCCCCCCCATCCAATTCAGGGTGGGAAGTTGGATTTTCCTCAATGCCTAGGAAATTCCTAGGCATATGGAAGCAAACCTGCTCAGCATGTGAGTTTGATTTGAAATTGGTTTGGTGTGCTGGCCCCCGAGGAGAATCCTGGCGTCCTTGAGTTTTCCCAGAAGTGGTTCGGGTTTCAGGGAGGCGGTGGTTGTGGGTGGCCAGGCAGCCTGACTGCCCGCACCCGCCCACCCGCCTCTGCCTGCCGCCTTGAGGTTTGCACTCGTGCCTCTCCCTCCCACACGTACAGAATGTCAGGAAGTGCCTGTTGCTGGGGCCTCTGCCTGGCGGGGCAGCCCGTCTGCTCACCTGGGAGCCGCTGGAGCTGAGGCTGTCCTGCGAGAGCAGCCCGGGTTGTAGCAGCACCGCGGGTTGTAGCAGCACCGCGGCATGCCCTCTCCCCTCTTTCCCCAGAGCGGGCCGGCCATGTGGCGCCCTGAGGAGCCGCAGCCGCTGTGGGCCCGGAGTTCTGAGCCCAGGGACGCCAGGGCAGGGGGGCAGCCTCTTCCCAAAGGTATGAGCGCAGGTCTCTACCCTGTCCTCAGGGAATTGGAGGGCAGGCCAGGCTTCCTCCTTGGACCTGGGAGGTTAGAGCTGTGGACGCCAGGCGCCAGCACTGGACACCCTGGCAAAAGGGTTGATCTCTGTGGGCATCTGTTTGCTGCGTTTGGCTGACTGGCAGCCCGGGTGTTTGTGCTCTACTTCTCCCCCGACCTATTCCCAGCTCTGCTCGGGAGGACTTCCGGAGGGGCTGCTCTTTGATCCTGAATGGCAAGACTCAGCTCGCTTCACTGGGAACTGATTACAAGTTGGACTCAGGGTGGGAAGACGCAGCCTTCAAAGCTTCAATTCGTCTCACTCCACGTTACTGGTGTGGGATGAAGGGCTTTTTTAAAAGAGGTTGCTTGCTGGAGTTGAGATTTCCTCCAAAGGGAACTTTGTTACCTTCTCACAACTCTTTATTTCCTGTCCTTTCCTTCCTATTCTGTCACTACTTTTTTGTTCTAAAATAGACACCCACCTCCTTGTTTGGGGCTTCCTTGTTGGCCTTTCCGTCAGATTCACAGACCCATTCCATCTTGACAGATGCCAATTCCTTGAGGTCTTGGTGGTGCGGCCTCTGCTGCCCAGGTTGTTGGGTAGGTGGAGGAGAGGAGATGCTGCTGCCTTCTTCTGAGTCTTTATTTTTTAACTTTCTCAGTGATATCTCTGCCTGAGACAGCAGGCATTAAAAACCGTCTGATAATGTAGGCTGGGACTTTACGGGGGTCAGCCGTGCCTTCTCCTGGCCCAGGATCAACATGGCTTCTCGCCTTTGGACAGCCCTGTGCTTTGCCCTGGCTGTTCCATCTCTGTTGACATGCATGTGCTCTTTCCGACTCTCAGGACCTGGCAGCCTTAGCTGAGTGTTACCATTCATGGACGCGTGATCGCTGGGAGCAGTGGTGGGAAGGAGGGCTGCCACGCGGGCAGATGTGAGGCTCTTCTCCCAGGGAAACCTTCTCTAGGGGCCCGACCTACCGCACAGTGGACTTCTCTCTGGCCACTTTCTGAGCTGGAGCTGAGGTGTTCTGTGAGGTGAGCTCCTGTTCTTGCTTGCAGACCTTCCTCTGTTGACTATTTCAGTTCCACTCTGACAACCAAGGAGGCTAAAATTAGTCCGGGGGAAGGAAAAGGAAGGCTAGTTCGAAACCCAAGCCCTTGGCTGGAGAGTGGAGGAGTCTGCTTCCTGGGGTTTGCGGCCCAGCATTTTGGAAGATGTGCCCAGACCAGCTGTTGTCTGTCCATCTGAGGAGAGGGAGGGGACCCTGCTTGCCTCCTAGACCTGAGCCAATGAGAACAGGAGACTGCCTTGGAAGCTGACTCTCAGGGCTGATGCCAGGATGTTTTTTCCATCTGGCTTGTCTAGCGGTGCACGATGTTTTCAAGGATGAGGACAATGCCTTTTCATGTCTAGTGTCATGGACAAACCCACTTCCTCCCTCATCCCTCACCTCCGTTGATTTAGAAAGCCTGCGTGAGTTTTCAGAGCCCTGGGCTGGCGACCATAGGTTAAAACCCTCTTCATGTACGTTTCGGGAATTTCCTTCTCAGGATTTGACATTCCTTGTCAGATGCGCAAAAGCCAGGCAGTACAGGGTCTCCCTTGGAACTGCTGGCTTGGGCTGGGCAGGGGTTTGCAGGGTGCCTTGTGGCCTAGACCTTATAAGGAGGTCCAGCTTCTTTGTATCCTGAGGGCAGAGGGTTCACCTCCTCTGGGCTTAAAGAGTAGGGGGTAGAAAAGTTAGAGGTGAGTTCTGATTTCCTTTCCCGCCTGGCTGACCAGTCTTGTGCGCCATCTGAGAGTGGGCCCTGCGGGCCACCTGGGGGAGGAGCCAGGCAATGCAGTCTTGTCTTTGAACCCCTCTCAAACTCCCATTCCCC